AATAGAGAATTTTATCTCTACAATTCACACAGTATTTTCCTAGTCTCAGGGAAAACGATCTTGTTTATAGCAAAAAATAGGATCAAAATTGTTATAAATGAAATATGACTCATACAAAACCTGCAAATTTGGAGGTATTGTGCAAAAAATAGCAGCAAGAGGAGGCAAGTTTTAGTTTTTTTAATAATAACATATTTTTTGAATTAAGGAAGTGTAAATCAGTGCAATGGAAAAAATTAAGTCAGTTATAAAATCATATGATCTTATGGGCTTATCCTGAAATGATAGTCAAGCTTTTGCTCCAGATGGTGCAATAGTGTTTGTGACATCCACTTTGAACTGCAATCTAGTTATGTGTCAAGCAGGAGAGTCCATTATTCACAGCATCAGTGCTGGCGGAAGAAGGTTAAAAGTTCAAGACATGCCCCAAGTGATTAAGGTTGTAAAAATCAGGAGATATACCATGGGGGAAAAAAATGCCATTCTGCCTTTTCTTCCATGCTCAGTTTGTCCCAAAAAATGTGTTTAAGTTAAAAAAAAAAAAAAAAAAAAAAAGAAAGAAAGAATCACAGGATGCAGGAAAGCTCCAGCTTTCAATAGTAATATAAAAATTACCTTTGTATTTGAACTCCTTAACCCCCCCTGATACTAGCTTTGCTTTTCCTGGAAAGAAAGAGAGAGGCTTCTCTTAAAACCTGTCAGCAAGTTATAGGACTTAAGAACTCAATTAGCTATTTCTCGCTCGTGATATTCACTTCAGCTGCTACATACATGCAAATAACTCTGATTTCCAACTTCATTTTTCATGTAGCCCACAGATGACCAGTCCATCTGCCCCTGCGAGGCTTCACTTCTCAGTCATGTAAAATCTGCTAACCAGAAACAAATAACCTAGAGATCACTTCAACCACCCCAAACTTTCTGTATTTGGAACTGCAAGTGCTGCTTCTCAAATATTTGAGCAAATTCAGGGGGATTTCTATGCCAATAGAAAAGGAAAAAAGAAGACATAAAGCCTGAAGGGTGAAGCTAAAAAAAATTAGATTTAAAAAAATCTTCTGCAAAATTCTTTATTGTGAGAGTAATGAATGGAAAGGTTTACAAAAACAAACAAACAAAAACAAAAAAAAATCAAAAAGATGCTTTAGTGCTCTGATAAGATTTGATAATTTAAGAAGATACAAATCATTCTTCTCAGAAAGGTATCTCACGTCAACAAAGCAGAAAAGTAGAAAAGAGTAATTCCCTTCTAACCAATACATTATTTTTTCTGTCTGCTGTTTGAACTGCAGGTTCAAACTAGAACATCAAGAAAACCATTCTAACCATTAAAAATAAGAGCTGGTGAACAGGAATAAATTTTGCTGATTTCTGTAAAAGTAAGATTTTCTTTTAGCAGTAATTACTCAGCCTCAGAACTAGAAAACTCAAGTACATGTACCTGCTTTTCTAACTCTCTGCTTATCTCGGAGTTTGATTGCTGGTTGGTATAAACTGCAAATGTATTATGGCCATGTTGCCAGATCATCTCTGAAATCACGTTAATACCTCATCTGAATTAACTGATGTACATCCACACATTTCTGTTTTCATTTCATAGAAAATATTTAACATAGATTTCTCAGAGCCTGGTAAATTTCAGCCTCTGTATAGATTTGTAAGTGCATCCCCATTTCAGAGAATGATATTGACAATATACTGACAACATATACTGACAAATATCCCTCTAATCCTTCATGTCAGGGGCCCTGAACTAGGTAGGTTTCAATAATGCCTTAAAGCTCATCACAGTCTCTTCAAAATGCATGCATAAAGAAATCATGTAGTAAACTCCTGATACCTGAGACTAAACCCAGCATGCATCCATAACCTGTGCATTACACTGCACAAATCTACAAACTGAGAATACAGCTGTATCACAGAAATTTGAGAACAATCTTCTGTAAACCCAAAAATCAGCTCAAAACCTTTGTCTTTAAATACAAATAAATATGTTCCAAATCATCTGTAGAGTCAGAATGATAAATCAAAGCCTATCAGCTCTTACACTTGAGTTCAGCAGGCTCCTTTGGAGGAGGCTGGGCTTACCCTTGCACAGCAGGAGTCGAACAGACCCACAGAAAGAATCCTCAAACTTTAGAAAGAAATTAGTACTAAAACCCACTCAGCTTGAAGTAACCATTGGAGCGGAGCACGATTACTCAAGGCAAATGAACTCTTATATGAGTACTCTAGAAATTAAAATAATAATGCTAGATGAATTATTAGAAATTTATATATATACATATATATTGCTCAAGTTTTTGTAAGTTTTTAATCTTGACTCAAAGTCCAATCTAAATGTTATGTTCAGTTGTGTCCTAGGACCAAAGCTTTTGTTTACTCTTGTACACAAAGTTCTATTTAGTTTTGTACTGGAGTTTATGCTTCATAGAATACAGAATATTAAGAATGAAAAGAAACGCTTACAGAAGCATTATAGGTGCAAAAAGGGGGAAAAAAAAAAACCAAACCTTTTATTTAAGAAATTCAAATGCCTCAAAACCAGTAAGATAGCTGTACAAGATTGTTTGTATCACCGAGCTAAAATGGCAATCCTGATTTTATTGGAAATGTCATGCAGGTTTTATGTACTCAGACATGGCTTCTTGAAGACCCTGTCAGTGGAATGAGCACACATTACTCTCCTGTGGAATCCCACAAGAACCCAGGTGGCAATGAGACCATGATCTTAATTGATTTAAGGGTCGAGTTTATATCTTTAAAACAACATTTTAGAACACCAGAAAGCAAATCCTTTACACGACGCTCAAGCACGCCAAGTTATACTTGCTTTTAGAGCGCCCCAGATTAACATCACATATAAACACTCAAGTGAGATGCAATGAGTCTTGCAAAAAAAGGAAGGTACACAATACAATTTCATAAATTAGGAACAGTTTATCGTAATTTATTTCCTGGCACTAGCTATAGTAAAGGCAAGAGGTGATACGTACAGCTATTTGCCAAAGAAACACAAGACTCATTTCTTTATCCACCCAAAATACTATATGATCTCAAAGATTCTGGGAGAAAATCTATTGAAGACATCAAAATGCAGTGTGGAAAAGTAGGAAAGTAGGAAAGTGATGATTGCCAGCTTGTACAACTGGGTTTGTATGTTTTAAATGCACGTGTTTATATAAGTAAAGCATCTTTAGTGTTTAAAAACAAGAACTACTGTAGGGCATCATTTTTACCTGATCACTTCTCAAAAGCCAGAGCCACACTAGTCACAGCTTTTCCTCACTGGGTTTTTCCCTGGGGCTTGCAATACATACTTTGATTAGAGAGTTTTTAAATTACACTTTAGCCTGTTAACACCACAGGGCCAATAAAACTAAGAGAAATAGAACTAAATTCTTTTCATTCAACACAACTGTTAACTAAACACCAATTAATTACACCCACACAGGCCTAATGAAGATAATGGGGTTGCAGAGAGTTCACTGATGGTATGAAGTGGCTTGCAGCATCCTAACCTTAATCAGTTAACTACTGCATAATAGGTAGGATCACAGGATAAGCCATCCTCTTTCTACATGCTTACAATTACTATTACTGTTAATGGAAATTACACAGCCACACAGAGAATTCATTTAACATTCACTTGATCACGTACCAAAAGTGATAAATATTTGAGGGGAATCCTTACTAGTATTTCAAATGGTTTATTAAAAAAACAGAGTGCAAGGTTACTAAATAAACCGAGTATCAATCTGCTTCAGGTCACTGCCGTCCTAAAGGTAAAGCTGACAAGTTGTTGTTTTTTTTTTTCCCAGATGGTTAATCAATACCGTCGAAGCTGTTTCTCTATGATGCATTTTATTTAGAGCCCTTTAAAAGGCAGAAGGTGGGAAACTGATCTAGAGGCACTTGAAATGTATCAGAAGGCACAGCTCTCGCATTGGCTTGCATTATCTAGCATGCTGAGGATGCTCTCAGAGCACGACACCAGTTACCTCCACGAGTCTTCTTCCAAGCATACTTAATTAAACTGGAGCTTTCCTGGCCAAGCACACAGACGTGATGCAGATCTGGAACTAGTCCACAGTAACGTACCCAAAGGAGCAGCCGCCCATCGTGCTAACGTGAAGGAGAGAAGCCTAATGAGGTATTCGCTGCCTGCTCTCCTCAAGGAACAGGTAGTGTCAGTTTAGAAACTTACTCTGAGGAAACAGCTTGAAAGAAAAGAGGGTTTAACTCTCTGGAGAGGCACCATATTATTTCTGAAGGATGTGAAAGGAAAAGAAAACGATTCAGTAGGGATTTTTCTTCATTATCACCCCACCCAGAGAAGCGCACACACAGTGAGCAAAGGTCTACACATATTGATTTTAGAGCTGAGGAAGTGTGCAGCTAACAGCTTTTTAAGTATCTCCATTTTCAGTTACTTCAACAAAATTACCAACTAACAGTGTAACAAAGTGAAAGTTTTTTTCGTAGGAAATTGCAGACTAAAAATGATCATTTAGGTTGTGAAACGTTTCTTTTCATTGAAAGTAAAGGGCTTTTAAACACAGGAGTTACCGGGGCATTTTGCGACGTTCTCCTCACTAGACATTTCACAAACCATAATCTGTCTCTCTGTCAGGATGATAATTTCACACCGTTTTGTTGCTCGGAGACTTTTAAACCTAAAGAGTACCTGCTCCCGGCATTCTGACTTGGATCGCCACAGCCAGCCTGAGGGAAGCGCCGACACGCGCGGTATTAAGGAAACCACCCCACCCCACCGCCCGGCTCTGCAGCACCCAGCCCAGCAGCCCAGCACGGGCAGGGGGTTCATCAGCGGCTCCGCGGCAGCAAACCCCCGTTTACCGACATTCACCCCCTCAGCAGCACCGTGAGGAGACCCCGGTACCTCAGGAAGGGGTGGCGGTACCGGCGCGCCGCTCTCGCGAGAGCTGGGGCAGCCGTCGCCTAGCAGCCAGCCCGGCCTGCACCGCCACAGCCGCGCCATGGAGGCCGAGGCGGGGCAGAGGCTGCGGGCGTTGCGGATGGAGGCGGCGGAGTACTACCGGAGCCACGGAGTGCCGCAGCGGATGGAGGACGCGCTCAACACGCTCTTCCCCCAGCGCCCCGGGGATCTCTACGGGGAGCTGGTAGAGCGGGGAGGGGAAGCAGCGCGCAGCCTTGACGGAAACCCCGCAGAGCCTCCCTCCTCCCGCGCCGGGCTGAGGGGCTGCAGGGCCCGGGGGTTGCTTTCCTCGGCGGGCAGGATGGTCAATTTCCTTCCTGTACTCGCTACAGGGGCGAGGAGCGGAGGGGAGGTCCCCCCGATGCCCGCCGTACCAGGCTTCCCCGCGGCTCCCTCCCAGTGCCCGGCGAGGTGCCGGGCTCTGTACTTGCCCGCAGGCAAAAGGGATGCTGCCTGCTCCTTGGGTTTAGTCAACCAACATGTTGATGAGAGGTGTTCAGCGTCTCCGACTCATAGAATCACAGAATGGTTTGAGTTAGAGGGACCTTATGGCTCATCCAGTTCCAACCCCCTGCCATGGGCAGGGACACCTTCCACTAGAGCAGCTTTCTCCAAGCTGTGTCTGACCTTAGATGGGCTTTGACTCACACAAGGTTTGCAGTGTTTTTACCTTTGTGACCGGTGGCACTCTGATACTGGGCCAAATACATTTCCACAGCAGTGGGGCTTTTGTCCTGTGCTGGTTTTGTGTGTCAACACAAAACCGAAGTAAGGTCCCTTCCAATCCAAACCATTCTATGACTCTGTGTAGGCTTAGGAGGGCACAGATGGATGTCCCTAACAAAGGTGTTGCCTAGCATGGCACTGTGAGGGACCAGTGACAATAGGAGACAGGGTGCTATCCATACTGCAGCTGCTCCTGAGAAGCAAATGGGTCTCAGTGGAAGTGTCAAGAATCAGACCAATTTTATTGTTCCCAGTTGGCAAAATACTGTAGACAGACGTTCTAATGAAACGTTTGTTAGTGGTGATACTGGAATTACCATCACTGCAATAGTGAGAAACTCTTGAAAAAATAAATTCTGGTATGTTCTCTGACGTGAAAGTGGCTGTGGAAGTGAAATATTTCGTTGCATCTTCCACCATTTCCCATCTCCAAGAGTTTTGCTATCACTAGTGGAAGGGACTAGAACTGCTAACACCTTTGCTTGGTGTTTGGCATGTCCTTCTTCTATGTAGCTGCAAGTGTTTCCTGGTTTTCCCATTTGGTATATTCAAGGTTTGGTGACTGTCTCTGATACCAGACTAAAGAATGAAACTAGTAAGGAAGTATGTAATAAACCTCAGGGAGCAACTTAATCCTTTTGTTAAAGCAACATCAGTGTTTATTAAATACCGGCAGAGCCCTGAATAAATTCACATAGTTGGATGATGACTGTTCAAAAGGCCCATTAAAGACCATGTTGGAAGATGCAAGACAGCTCTGCCTGCCAGAAGTCTAGGTTTCCATCTTTCTCATAGATCTCAAAGTGTCCTAACCTAAAATCCCAGATTTCCTATGGAGTAGTGACCCTTAGCTATATCCATTGTCTTGAGTCTTGCTGGTAAGTGCAGCATAACCACAGCTCCTTAAAATCATGCTGGCCTTGTTAGCTCACTTCTAATTAGGAGAGCTGGTCATGGTGATAAATAACCTTACACCAAGTATGTTCTGTAAGAGAGGAAGCTACAAAAGAAGTAGTTATCATTGTTATTGAGAAGCTTCCTGACAAGCTTCTCTTCCAGATTGTCTGCTATGAAGATCTTTAATATTAGTTGAGTGTTGAGACACATGAACATAAGAATGTATGTTCTCATGTACATATGTATTTGATGAAGCAACCTTGAAACATTATTAGATATCTGGGACATTATGTACTTCCTATAAGCAAGAGGTATATTCGAAATATACTTATTGTTTTCCCTGTGTGCAGCATGTACACAATTTTATGCATAGAATTTCACATGAGAACTTTTTCTAAGCAGGAGGATTTGGGTTAAAGATTGGTTCTAGTTTTATTGTTAGGGGAAAAAATGTAATATTAAATCTTAATAACTACCGGTTAATAGATGTTAATAAATAAAAGCATGCCACAAGAATTTTAATATGCCATTAGGATCTAGTAGCATTCTTTACAGATTTTAAAGAGTTACTCTTGGCCAGGATTTTTTTCTTTCCTTATGAGAGAGAAGAGACATGTATTCTTTCAAGATCTTATCCACAAACAAACCCATTATTTTAGAGCACCTCACTGCACAGGGGAGGTGGAGGCTATGTGAATTCTAATAGAAATCAGTTTAATGAGTAGCACGATGACTAATTTTGGTTTTCTCTGTAAAGCCAAGTAAGCTTTGGACAAATGCCTGGTTTTTAGGAGAGTAAAGGAGATTTGGATGCTCACTGCTAACTTTGCTAAATAAAACACGTGTTCATCTAACCTGGATGCAGCTTTGGACTTCCACACTTAGGTATGAGTTGGATCTGTTCCCTGAAATCTCATTCTCAAGGGTATACTACAGAAGTACATGTTCAGTAACAAATATTTTGAATACTGCAACATATAAATGAATTTGCTCAATGGTGGATTTGATTGAAAATACTTATTGTAATAAACCCCTCTTTGCGTAGAAATTGACTTTTAACAAAGTTCTTTCTCTTTCATTTAAGGCTAACTACTTATCTAAATTTTCAAAAGTTCCAGTAATATCCAGATTAGTTGGAAGAAAAGTTCTTGATGGAGTTGGTCAGCCAACACTGGAAGTGGAAACACACTGTACAGTTAGAAACTATGAGAGGGTATGAGCTGCTTCTTCCTGGTTGATTTATTTTAGTAAGGAATCAAGGAGAGGTACTCTTCTACTCACATCCTAAAGAAAAATACGTACAGGTGAAAAACACAGTATAGGTGAAGGCAGGTTTTTACACTGAGCTAATAGGCTGATGTGGGTGATAGTTAAGTCAAACATGATCATCTAGCACCTGCAGTGCAAAATTGATGGTGCATTGCTATCTCTTCCCCAACCACAAATACTCAAGATATTGTGTTTGCAACTCTAGCTGTTCTGGAGTAATTATTTCTGCTTTCTCTCAGCTAAACTAGGGTTCACCTCATTCTTGAATTAAATAGCATTTCTTAGCTATTCACACTATGCAAAGGTAATACTGTTAATGCAGGCAGCACTGTGATATTTGTAAATGGTTTCTTCATTAAGCAAATTCTCTTTTAAGTATCATTCTTCAGCAGTACAGAAAGGTAAGTTTAAATTACTTAAGTAAGACAAAATGTAATTTATCATGAGGGATGTCATCAAGCATGAAAGCTGACGAATCGTGGTACAACAGGCTACCAACAACTGCAATTAAACATTCTAATGACTGTATAGTCTTTAAAATAACTTCATTCTATTCTGGTAACAAAATGTATGTGTAAACCAGCTCTGTCAAGAGGTTTTTACCTAAGTAGCTGTAATTGAGGTAAGAAACTTGAATAACATCTGTGATTACCAGAGATAAGGAAGAAAGGGATGGATGAAAAAGCGAAGCAAACAGTAAACTTGGAGAAAAGTCCTTATAGAGTTGATAAGGACAAATACTTCTTAGTCTTTCAAATGCCATTTCCAAGCGAGAAATCAATAAATAGTGTTTTATTAAATCGAATAGCGGTTTAAACCTTTTAACGTTTTTATTTTGCAGAAGATTTGCTCTGTTGTCATGTCTTCGCATTTCCAAACACTTGTAAATGCTTTACCTGAAACAATTGAAGCTGATGAGAAAGAAAGGAATAACTCTGTTAACACTGCCGTGGAATGGGTCAATGAATCGCTGAGCACAATGTTAAGAGACGTGAAGCCTACTGACCAGGGTGGAGTTGATAAGATGCTTGGGTAGGTCTTGCTTATTATGCAAATTATTGCATTTGAAATATACACCATTAATTTATATTGTAAATTAAAAACATATAAAATATTAAATGTTTTCTACTGTTTTTAAAATATTTATAGAACACGATGTCTCAGGTACATGCACCACATTATTTCCTGCTTTTTTCACAATTATGATATGAAAATCATGCTGGTTTTTACAAGGTTTCATACACGGGATACAAAAATAAAGAGTCCTTAAGAAAAAAATGCTTGGACATGTTCATGAGTCAAAGTTTCCATTTATGAAACTCATTCAGTGCCAGTTTAATTCAGTGGGAATGTTTCTTCAGACTGCTACTCTCCTTCTGTTCATTGCACTGCAGAATAACAGTGATAAAAAAGGCCTCTGTGTGTGCCTTCTGCATTGAGGTAATCCACAGAAAACATATATATATAAAGTTTTCAAGTTCTGGTGGAGTCTTCCTTATGTGCAAGCTACTCCAAAAGGCTTCTTAGTTGAGGCAATTATTTTCTTTGGAAATATAGTTTCTGTGGTAAACATCCATATTAACTTTTTTCATACAAGCATTTCTTCTTGGGAGCATCCCAAAGTGAAATACAATGGCCATGTTTTTCCATCTAAAGAAATATGTTTGGATTTTATAAGTCAAAACCAAAAGAGGTAAGGTAAAATTATCACAGATATATCTGAATGTGTTTTCACAGTAACATTACAGGAGCTACCACGCAACATTAGTGGCTTGCTTCACCCTGGAAGCAGTAATAACATCCTTTGTTGTAGTCAGAAGTGTCTTTCAGCTATATCACTGAGGGAGATGACACAGCCTTAAGGGTAACGATTGGGCTGCCACACTTAACACAGTCTCAAGCAAACAGACCTAATTGCCTTCCATGTGGATTAGCTTTGGGGAAACCTTGATGAAGGGAGTAAGGACTCCACTGGGAAGAAATTCTTCCAAATGAAGTGAGTCTAAATAAGATTTTAATGCCTTGTTTACACTACTTTATATATCTTATATATTTCCTTTGCCTGAATTGGGCGAGTGTGACCCATGACTTTGGGCATGTAATTGAAATTCTGCCGCTTCTGAGCTTGGAGCTGCTTAGATAACCAGTATAGAGCTGATCTATTGGATTAGCAACCTAGGCCAGGCTGCTGTATGTCATGAAGTTATGACAGGACCTGTTAATACAAAAAGCAAATACATCCTTCATGCCAAAATTGTCTGCTCAAAGCTGACTTTCCAACCACTGTGATTTGAAAAGCACACTTTAAGGTTTATTATACTTGCTTGTGTTTCTTTTTGTTTAATCAAAGCTGCAGAAGACTACCTAAAAAAAAATGTCATTTATTGACTTCTGTAGCTTCACACAATGAGCCTATGGCAGAAGCTCAAGTAGATGCCTGTAATCCACCTCTTAGCATGTTCTTTGGCATGTATCCTGTGTCTGCTTGTCACATATCTAACAATATTTTATTAATATTGTAAATATGATGTTATATTGCTAATATTAACAAAATAAATATTAGAATATAATATTTTTAATAGAGACAATAATCTTTATGTCTCTTCCCTCAGTGAATACTTTACAAAAAAGGTAGAGGAAAAAGAAGAAATTCGAAAGCGAGAAGAAAAGGAAAAAGGCGAAGAGTCCCCTTCATGCGTTCCACCAGCAACAGCACTACCTGGGGGAAAAAAAGCAGCAAAACAAGGTTTTATTTTACTTCATTGTAATGTTCTCTGCAATACAGATGTTGATAAGGGTGCTAAAATATTTTCTGAATTATTCTGTGGACACATGACATGATGTCTCACGGTCAATGGTTACTCTCCTAAATCTTCCTGATCACAGCATTTCTGCAGTTTCTACTGCAGAAATGAGAGGGGGGAAAATACAGTTTTCTCATCATTCACATGCATTTCTGCCTTTGTTTTACAGTTGGCTTAGACAGGAGGTTATTAATCTTCAGAGTAAGGAATAAGAATGGAGGAGGATGTAAATGAATAATGAAAATGATAAGGAAAGAAAAGAAAAGGGAATCACAGCACTGAACAGGGAATTAAGATAGAAGTTGAAAAGAATGGAAAGAGGGAGGAAGGGAAGTTTCTTGCTAACACCAAGAAAAGGTGAAAAGCAAAAGAGAAAGAAGGAAGGGCATGAGATGGGATTGATGGGCAGGACATAGTAAAAAGCAGTAAACAATCCTACTAAAGGAAAAAATGGTGTGAGAGGAGGGAAAGAGGGGAAGTATAGTGGCCCAAATTAAAATCCCAGAGGGAAAAAGCACCATATGTTATCTCCATATATGCATCACCCTCATAAAAAAAAAAAAAATATCATTTATTGGAAGGGCAGAAAATTTTGGCAAATTATTATTTCTTATCAGTTTAGTTTCCACTCTCATATACTATTAGTAAAACCTCCCAATTAATATGTTAGGTATGCACACAGTAAATTCACCTTTGAGCTGAAATAGAATCATAGAATCATACAATAGTTAGGGCTGGAAAGGCCTTTAAGATAATCTAGTTCCAACCCCCCTGCCATGGGCAATCTGCAGCTGTCAGGACCATCCAGATATCATTATGTTGTATCTTATACTTTTAGCCAAGCTTCTGCTGACATATATATTACTTGTTATCACTGTGTTTTCTTTATACTTGATTGTGACATTGACTGTAATATTATTGTTATAATCAACGCCTACTATTAACAGCCAATGATTATAAAGCTACTTGTTGTTCCAGACCACTAACAGATGGTGACTTCCAGTAGCAGGTGCTTTCAGAGCATCTATGGTGTAATTTATGCACGTTACAAAGTAGTGTAGTGTGAAGGATCTCTGCGAAACACTGTGCTTTGTCAAAGTCGCTCAGTACTGGATTAGTAGTGTCTATGTATGTAGCTTTTCATCCTCAATGCAAGAAGTATAGAGTCTGTTTATAAGATGAAAATGATGTATTATCTGCTCTGCATATCCCAATTAAGGTCCCATTAAGAACATTTTATCATAAAATACCAGCTGTATCCTGTTGTATTTATCCTTTATTGAAATAAAAACTTGTTCTGCACTCCTGTTAGGAGCCAAAGTAGTTGGTCAGGTTGACAAAAAAGTCCCCAGTGCAAAAGTGTTGGGAATCAGAGTACTTACTGTGGGTTTACATAAGTTTTTACTGTAAAAGTTCCTGTAAGCGCTGTAGGCAATAAACATGGTAGTGGAGACTGCTAGGTTTCAAGCATTTTGGCAGCAGTTACTCTATGAGAAGGAAATAATTCCTTTTGAAAATGTAGACTTGTTTTCTCATTGGAAGACTCAACTATAACAGGACTAAATTTGTTTCACATACATTATTAGAAGAACTCAAGTATGGGAACTCCCAAAAATGAGGTTATTATGTCATTTGCTGGTTTTGCAAAAGCTGAGCATATGAAGGAGAAGGATAAAGAATACTGAAATCATGGTTATGAAAGGAACCTGAAAAATGATACAACATTACTGGATATGAACATAGATAAATAAAACCACAGATTTCAGTGGCTGAACATCTCCAGAAGAAATGGATTTGAAATATATTTGAAACCAGGGTGACATTTGCATATTTATAAGGTCATTTCATATAAAACAACTGATTCTTTTGTAATACATCGGATAGAACTGAAATGACAGTAGCATATTTACATAGAACTGTGATACATAAGCACATGTTTTAAACCAAGAAAATAATTAACTACTAGTCTCTGACTTGTAGGAAAGAAGGTGTCAGTTCCAGAGAAAATGATCCCACCTGCAGAACCCATTGAATTGGTGCTTTGTGGCAGCTTAGCCATTGGGGGAACATCCCTTGCTATAGCTAAGGCTGGTGCCACCATTAACCGTGTCCCGTTGTACTTACATATCTCACTGCTGAAACACAATCAGGTACATGTGACTTTTGTCCTTTTTATTGATTTATTTTATCCCAGTTATCACAATTACTCTGGAATTCTGAAGCCAGTAGTCCCTCGTGACAGTGGTGTTAAATATACTTCATGGAATACACCTTTAAGACCATTGCCAGTAGCAGCCTTTGAACCCTGTGCCATAATTCAAATATATAAATTTTATATATATTTACATTTTATATACATTTATGTAAAGCTGATTTTTAACATTTTTATAAACATTAAATATGTTACTTTAATATTTAATGTTCATTTAACAATTTTATTAATTGGTACCCCCAATTACAGGATTCACCTAAAGAAATGACTCTACCACTCCCAATGGTTACTGTATTGAACTGTGAAAAAACTGCAAAACTGAAATTAGTGAAAGAAGTTATGCTTATACCACCAGTTCATTTATCATTCAAACAGGTACTATTTCATTTATGTTCATATGTATGTATTCTATAGACTTAATATCAACTATATATGTACATGAGTACTTGGAACTTTGCAATATAATCCTTACAATCTTTCATTTCCTTGTTTGCTTGCAAGGCCAAACTTTGAACAAATGTTAGTGCAGAATTCTAATACTAGGAACATTAATAGAAGTAAATAGATGAAGACTTAAAAGTAGGTACATGAAGATTTCAATTTAAAAATGTATGTGCTAGAGGAAAAAAAAAACTGCATTGAAGATGATGTAGGGCAATTGTGTTACACAAGCAGGGATTTTAATTTTGTTTCGATTGTGATTTTACATTATTAGATTATAAATAGTATCAGTTGACCACACAAAACAACAAAACTCTTAAATTCACAGGAGAGCCTAAAATCTTTGGGAATACATTGCTTTTAAAATGACATTGTGAAGATAGAAGGGAATACAAAGCAGAACAAAAACTATTCAAGGGGCAAGAAGGATGGTTGATCCAGTCTGTCAGCCTGGATCAACCTTCTCTTTTTGTTTAGCCATGTGTTGCATTAAAGAATGTATCTGCACAAGATGCCTACGTTAGGGCTGTGATTTCTACTTTGTATGCTGGTGACCTGAACAAATTGCTGAGCTCGATTCTCTTTTTCCTTTAACTTTATAGAATTGTCACCAAGAGCTCTGAATAAGGGTGCTAATTCTGTACTTTTCAAAGACAGAATGCCTCCTAGTGCTCATGGGAGAGTAGCAAGCTGTTTGCTGCATTGCAAAAACCGTAGCCATTCGTCCTGTGTTGGTGTGTTGTCAGCTCTGACTGACTTCTGCCCTCTTCAGTATTCCTTTGCTGGCACAGTTGAAGAAAATCTGAAATGGGATTTATGAAGTTAGCATTAAACTTTTACTAGCAAAAAGGGAAAAAGGGTCTTACACTAAAAGCAATGGATTCATTTAATCAGAGTGTTCCTCATTCCCATTTTAAAATTAAGACAGCGATTTCTTTTTCCCTGCTTCCTGGGAATGTTCTGAAGGTAAATACATTCAATCTTGCCAGTTTCCAGTTAGGAAGTCTTAGATAGAGTTACAATTGTGAAAAGTGATTATCAACTTTCCATTCCTCAGATATTACACAGACTGAGGTAACGCTACATGTTAGATTTGGAAAGGCTTTCTTTTGGAGAAGAAGAGACTACTTTTCTTGCCGTCCCATTGAGCAGCATGACTAAATACTCATGTTCATGCCACTGCTACTAACCCTTTCTCATTTGACACTTGATGCATTTTTTGGGTGGGGAGGATTGCATTTAGGAAGCTTATAATAGTTTTGGGGTTTTTTTAAGACTTAAGATCTACATCTACAATAAGTGTTCTCTCTCATCTGATTTAACCTGCTAAAAAGGAAATAATTTATCTTCCTTTTGAAGATTACTGTTGTTTAATTTCAGGGCTTAGAAAGAGCTCTGGATATTCAGAAAGAATTTATGAGACTGTTGGATCTGCTAAGCAAAGAGGTACAATAAGAATGTGCAATAATAATGTGATGTACTTTGTTTCGTCTTTCTGTTTCTATTCTCTTTTTAAGATTAAATACGGAACATTTAGCCTGTTATCAGGCTTTGTCTTATGGCACAGGTTAGAAGATGTGTTTCTCTGACAGATGAATAAGCATTGGCCATTTGGTGATATTAAATTAACAAAGATAATATAAAACAATGTTCTAAGCATAGTAAGACCTTCTGGTTACCTGAAAAAGTATCCTGGGAGTGAATGGTATCACAGTGAATATACAATATATGGTTCTGTTCTTGCTAAGTCACACCCAGCTACACACAATGTGAATAATATTCAAGGTGCTGTTGCTGTTAGAGTCTACATTATAATTTCTGAGATCCCCTGTATTTTTGATAGACTTGGTGAGAATCTTTGAAACAATGGTTGAAGTGATGCCCATGTAGAAATGAACATTTCTATACAGGTTTAGGGGAGACCTTATCACCATGTTTCAGTATTGAAAGGGTGGCTACAAAGAAGATGGAGACTCTCTTTTTACAAGGGGTCACATGGAAAAGACAAGGGGTCATGGGTACAGTGAATCCCAGGGAGATTTAAGTTCAACACAGGAGGAAAATTTTTCACAACGAGAACAATCAACCACTGGAATAATCTCCCCAGGGAAATGGTGGATTCCCCACCATTGGGCACTTCTTAGATTCAGCTGGACAGGGTGTTGGGACAACCAGTCTAGGTTTGCCCAGAAAGGTTGGCCCAGATGATCCTTGAGGTCCCTTCCAACCTGGTACTCCATGATTCTGAGATTTGAAATGAGTTACCACCACAAAATAAAAGTGGATAGCTGCTGATAGTATTCAAGACAAAACAGAAGCTATATCCTAACAAATATTTGCAATCTCTTTAGGCCAAAATTCAGTCCCTTTATTTGTATGACTTTTTTGGACTTTTCCATGGAATTGATTTCTTTCTTATTTTACCACCACCAGCCCAGTCCTCGAGCAGCAGACAGTAAGGAAGGAAAAGCACAAAATACAAGGAAGAAATCTGTGGTAAGAAAAGAGACTTTCATTTTAAGCCTTCAGCATAGTAATAACAGCAGGGGACCAAAATGTTCTAAGGAAATGAAGCATTAATCTACATTACTGCTTTGGAAAGGTCAAGGCAAAACTTTTAAATGTTCCAGATGCTCGTATCTTACATAGTAATTTGGATTCTTCTGGCCATACCTTCCCTTCCTGTGGAACAATAACAGAAAGGGGAAATTCTTCTGGAATCTGGTCTTTTTTTTTTCATATACAGATCCTGGTAAATTATCCAAACAGGCATTTTTCAGGGCTATAGTGCCAGGAGAGAATGTGCCTTTTTGACCGTGTAGGCCATAAAACTATAACCTGTAAGATTTGCATATTGTGCTGTTTCCTGACTCAGGGAGCATAACTCCCCTCTTAATCATGCTGCATTAAGTTCTCAGTTCCTGTTTCAGGTTATAGATAGTGGCAGATACAAACCAGGAGCTAAAGGGCAGCACTCCCAATGTGCACAGGACATTATTTTATATGACTCAGATCACTTCAAAGCCTGTAGTTTATAGATGAGTTTTCCATCTAATGGGATTGAAACGCCATGTGGGTTTTGCTCTCCATTCTGAAACGATTAAAACATTATCAGGTAAGAATTGTTGCTCTTGTTGAGTATGAGCAAAAGAGAGGATGACCTGAAGTTTTCCTATTCTTTTGCTTAAACACAGAATTCATCATCATTAAGCAGTGGGTAATTTCCACATTCTTATCACAATATATACTGAAGTCACAAGTTAAAACGATTCCATAAGATCTGCATAGGGAAACAATCCATTAGATTCTCTGGAAAAAAAAAAAATCCATTTATTTCAATAGGAGAAAGCTAAAGGCGACAGAAGTGAGACTGAATTTTAAACTGATAAAAGCACCATGTTGGTTTGAACTTTTTTTTTGGGGGGGGAAAGGGAAAATTACAAAGTAGACAGTGAAGAAGAACCTGTTTAGGTTGTAGAAGGTTATAGTATAGATAGAAAGTACTATGTGCTATAGTATAGACAGAAAAAATGGTTTTATAAAGATCATGCTTTTAATAGAATGAACAAGGGTACCTAAGGGTACCAATGGAACATATGGGTACCTTGAAACTCACATGAAAATGCAGACTTAACCTCTGTAGTTCATTCTCTAATTCTTGTCAAAACCGATGCTTTCCAATTGTCGTTTCCAGTCTAACCTAGGATTATATCCTGCTGCTTTCTGGGCGACTTAAGGTCACTCTTCATAATCCAAAATTCACAGGCTTTAAAGTCAAAAATCAATGTTTGAAAAACCTACAAAAAACCCTCACAATAGAAGGACACATGAAAGATTTTCTTGATACAACTCTGCTTGCGGCTCATGTCCAGGAACACTGTTCCTGAGGCAGACAACTCTATGCAGCTGTGCTTGAGGTATTTCCCCTCTATGAAATTTGTTCCTTCTAGAAGTCCAGGAAGATTCTAGTGTTTCTCGAACACTCCATCGAAGCAATATCAAAGCTGTAGTTGAGGATAAATGAGTAAAAGCTGTTTAAAAGTAGAGATTATGTTTTTGTTGCAAAGAGATGGTCCACAGTACTGTCAACTTTTACACAGCATCCATAGCAACTCAGTGGTTGTTAAAAATGTGTTTAGTATCTTTTTGTAAGCCAGTATTGGCTGTGTAAGTACAAGAACTACGTGATTGGACATATTTCCAAACACAGTTATCTCTCTACTCGTTAGCACTTGATCATCGCTAATTCATAGAAAATTGCCCTTAAAGTTGCCAATGCAATATCTGAGAACAGATTTATGTTTTGATGACTGAATGCAGACTGAAATGACAGTGAAAATATATATACAAGTATAATATATATACATGTGTGTACGTAAAGTGATTATTTTTGTTTTACTTGCAGCAACAAGCCTCAAAAAGAGTATCACACTTAGGATGCCCAATAACAGGATGTGATAATCTAGAACAACTGCTACTCCTAATGCAAACAGCTTGCGACAATAGAAGCCTGCAGTTAGGAAAAGATATGTACTTAGCAATAAATTGTGCTGCTCATGAATTAATGGATTATGTAAGTTATTTTCAGCATCTATTTTGTTGTTCTTTCAAAGAAATATAGCTATTTGTTAACATTATTTAGCATTACGTTGCAAACTCACCTTGAAGCTTCTAACTCCATTTTTTAAGGTAGCAATCAAGCAAACCAAAAGAATTGTCTCTGCATTTAAATCAGTCCTACAAGTGTAACAAATGTGTTACTGGCTTGTGAGTGCAAGGGCTGAGACATGCAGACATCCTTCTGGTAGCCTGGTGCGGTGGGAGCAGGGAGAATGGATGTATTCCTCCTCCCCAGCTGCACCAGCATACTGGCGGCATGGAACAAGGCTCACTGGACCAAGGCAGACCCCCATTATAGCTTTGTCCTACGTGCATAAATCTCTGTTCCTTTCATGATTTGACTTTAATCATTGAAATGGTATAAGCCGGACTGCACCAGCCAGGTTTAGTCCTTTTCTCTGTTTAATTATTCATTCAGATTTTTCAGATCAGCCTGGGTCAAATATAGCAAACTCTTTAATGGGCAAATACCTCTGTTTACCAGCTCTGTTTGACAAACCAGCTTCAGCTCGCATCACATCTTAGACAATTTTGAATTCAAGTATTAAGCAGCAAATCCTGTTTTGATGTTTGTTGTTTTTTGTTCATTTCACCACAAGGTATAAATGAAATAATTCTGTCCTATCCACCTTACTTTCAAGGATGAAGAACAAGAGATTATTTACACAAGTGTACTTCTGCAATTCCTTAGCCCCGCTACATGCTTATTTCTCCATTATACTACACTACATCTGTTGTTTAATTCAAACAACCTTAACTTTCCTGTCATAGTATGATTCTGTACCAACTAAGATTCATCTCATTGTGTATCCACATTAACCTTTTAATTCTGATTTTTAGTTGATATTTATCTGCAGCTGAAGTCTTAAAAGTTCTTGCCCCTTGTTCCAAAATTAATCAGATTTCTCTCTAAGCAGAGAAACTTTCTATTCCATTTAATATCTAAAGAGGTTAATTTGGGTGTACTATAGTGACTAATATCTTTTGTTAAAGCAGTTGTTGGTTTCCGGACAGTCTGGTGTCTGTATCCCATATACAAGAACAAGAAAAATCTTAACCAGTGAGTTACAGTTACTCTCTAACTTTCTGTTACTGAACTGCTGAAGTCACTAAAGCAGTAGCTATTCTGGCACTGTCTGCCAGTCTGCTTTTAATAATCCTGCAGTTTGTGCCTCCCATAATGATGACACTCATTTTAAACTAGCCCTTTTTGAGAGGGGTGAAGGCCAAGGAAAGGCAGCACCTACGTTTTGAGCACTGGAGGTGCACTCTTTTCCCCTAGCAATATTTTCTTTATGAAATAAGGACCCAAAGTTAGCTCTGGGGGGAAGTGATTAATGAAGTTTTTCATGCAAGATTCAATAAAAATGTCAAAGATCGATAACTATCATAAAGCAGTGTAAAATGGGCAGTGTTCCCTAAAAATGCTGAAATAGATCTCCTTTGGTTTAGCAGTGGCATGGTTCAGAGATTTTGGCATGAGCCCCCTGGCAGAGTTTTCTATAACAATATGCTGGGCACTTACATGCAGAGTAAAGCAGACAAGTGAATGGGGGCTTATTGAAGAGCACACAACCCACTGCATTGATAGGGATACTGGTGTCACAAGAGCTGTGTGCTTACATTAGCACTCTGGTTTTTAAAGCATTACCTTCCTTATGTTTTATGTGTTTTTACTTTACTTTCTAGAGTAAAGGCAAACATGAAATACTCACTGGAACATTCAAAAGCCCTGATGAAATGATTAAGATGTATGTGGAGCTGACTGACAAATTCCCTTTTATTATTGCATTAATAGATCCCTTAAGAAAAGAGGTAAGATACCACAGTACAGTCCTTAGGAAGCTGATAATACTGTTTGGTGGGAAATCACTGAACTTTTCACATGTTTACAGAAAAGAAAATACAAAGCTTCTGCTTTTGGAGTCATTCAGCATAAAAATATCACTAGAAAAATTATCAATTCATTTGCGTATTTGTAACTGACAATAACTCTAAATCTTTCTATACTTTTGACACAATTCCTGATGGAAAATAATCCTGGCATGAACAGGAGGTGGTCAGTACAAACATTTTAAAGAATTATAAGAAAATGCCTTTTTTTCCCTGAACAATTGTGCCATTTTTATTACATTTTCCTTACATTTTGTTACATTATTTCCATAATTCAAATTAGAAAATAAAATTATAAAATTCAAGTTATATTTTGCTGATTATATTATAGCTAAAATTATAGCTGTATATTCCTTAAAATCCCTCAAAAAAAAAAGATTGCTGCTGTTCTTCATGACTGAGATTTATTCCCAAAGCCTGACCAAGCCTGTCACTGGCAGCATTGTGCGACAGGGATTAAAGTGATTGTGAGATCTCATGTATTTCCTATTGCGATCAAAGTTAGAGGAGTTAATTTAGTGTGGCTAATAGATTATAACAATAAAGTAGAATACTGTTAAGCATGTTATCGAGTTAGAGATGGGTGAAAGAAACAGATTGCATAACTCTATTAGCATTTCTACATAGCTAAGATTGTTTCCGTGCATTACACAATAGATCAGGACTTAATTGTAGCAGAACCCACAATTGCAGACCTGGATCCTGCAGATGCAGAACTTCATAAAAATTGCTCTTGCTGTTGAACTTTACACATTATCTTCTTTAAAATAAATATGAAGCTGTTGTTTTCATGAACAAAACATGAAGGCTGTGACTAAAGGGGAAGCAGAGTGAGGTTGTCTTTGTGAATCTGCCCAGTGAATAAATAATTCTAAACCAGATGAACTGCAAAATCCATCTGAGTTTATTCTTAACTGGAACTTCAGAAGTTCATTTTTCAAGTCTCTGTGTTAATTGTTACCTCACTGTAGTTAGCCCTGTCTTCCTGCACTGCTTCTCTCTGACTCTCTGAATTACCCGTGTTCCAAACCACCAGCTTATTCCCCACTCCTGCCAGGGCTGCAAACTTCCATGATAATCCTTATGAAGGAACAATTACAATATGCAAATCCGCAGAAGAACTTTCACAGATAGTGAAGCGCAGTTGGGATTAGAATACTACTAAGGGACATGCCTCTCCTGCTCCTCCCCTCACTCCCAAATCTATAAGGTTTGCCCATGCCACATCTTTGCCACAGATCATTAAGTCCTTGAGGCTTAGTTCTGGTACCAGTTCAGCAATTCATTGCCAGACAGCAGAGTGTTTGAGTTTTAACATTTGTTCAGGTGTCAAAAGCTTCATTTTCACTTATGTGTGGGCTTGAAATCCTGAGACGAACGGACCCTTACACAGATTGCAGCTACATAGGTACAGAAGTCTGTCTGATCTGCAGATAAAGAATTATTACTGGCAGAATGATTAAGTAGAATAGTAATGTTTTTCATGTGATAACTCTACATTAATTAATAAATTTCTGCTTTCAAATTATTTACATATCCTTGTCCTTTGTTTATCCTTAAATCTCAGTACCATGTGGGCAGCGCATTAAAAATCAAGAAACAAAACCCCTAAAGCCCCAGAGCTTTGCTGAAAGCGAGCGTTGCAGTCTGCTGTTCTCTCTGGCTTAGCCTTGCAGCTCTGCTCATCCTGTCTCTATACATGTCATTGAGTCTATGACTGCCTCCAGTTTCAGTATTTTATATCCAAACAAATATTAGGACACTTAAAATGTTAACATAAAAATGAGTCCTCTGAATAAAACAGTAGAAAATTATTTGATACTCCATTAAAATGGAATAAATTTCAGGAAGGAAACCAAAATAGCAAACTCCTAGAGTTAATTTATATGGAAATATTTTAAACTATACTTGTATGCAGCAAGGTTTGAGTAATTCCAGATCAGCATTTATGTTTTCTAGCAAGACCTTAAAATTCAAGCAAAATTCCAGTAGCATGTTTTTCATAGCTGGACAGATTTAAAATACAGTATAAAATATGTTTATATGAAGAGTAGCTTTGGGATTAAATCCAAATTTATTCTTTATCTCGTTCAGTTTAGTTTTATAAACTCCAGTTATTTACCTGATTCTTTGTGCAGGACAGGCAGCAATGGAGTAACATATGCTGTGCTCTTGGTTCCAAATGTTTCCTGATTGCTGAAGACGCTGCCACGTATATTTCCAAACTTAAAATTGACCAAAACTTAAATGTACCAACGTGCAGTGGTGTTGTCCTAAAGTATATTAACCAAACTAAGGTCTCAGACCTCATAGAACTTACTGGACTTCTAGATGGTGAGTAGAGTGGGGGGGGGGAAGGCTGTCTGTCAAAGCTACAATAAATAGCATGGAAATACTACATCATTTTATGTAGTTAGTGCCACTTCTAATTTAGAAACTAAAGAAGAAACTAACATTCACGTTTTGATTCACAAATCTCTGTTCAGGAACTTAAACCGGCATTCAGTGCCTAACTACAGTAAATGAATACACTGTGATGTTTTCAGTGTGGGTGCCCTTTGACACTGCAGCCAAGTGACATACACTAGATATCAGAATTCAACAAAATAAAGATGTAGTTGAGTAATCTGAATTTTAACTGCTACTAGTATTAATGATTAAGGAATCCAAACAAGTACAAACTGTTTAAAACTGCAGTTTACTACATTCTTGACTACATATTGCTGAGCCTGTGTGGTAACAGTACTACGATCTTGGCAGTTTCAATAGGGATTTCTCTTTCTATCCCTTTTTCTTTATTCATTTTTATACAATAGATGGACAAATTTAATATATCTATTTGTTCCAAAAGCCCAGAATCACTATATCAAAGCAAGTAAATAGCAACTTAAAGCTTTCATTCACTCAGGATGATAAACTCCTTTTTTATACTGAATAAAAATCATTACTGTAAGGAGCACATTTCAAATGAACAGAGCAGCCTCCTAGCCTGTAAGAATACATTACCACACAGATCAGTGAGAGACAGGAATCAGGTTGGAATGTCAGAGATGCCCTTCTCCACGCTGGAAATAAACCATAGCGTTAATGCAGCAGACTTACAGAGTTTACATTTAGGTGAGCTGGGTTTCCATGGGTTTACTCCTCTTTGCATTTAAGTTTTGGTAGCCCAAGGATAAAAAAGAATGCAAAGTCCAAACAATTTCTATGTCAGATACGTAAAATATACTCTAATGAAGTTTTTCCACTCCCGTTATGTGCAGGTCAAAGACAAATTACCATATTAGGAAGCCCAGATGGAGAATCTTCTGATGATAGCCTTGTGGATCTGGTACGTATTGAAAGCTGTTCAATTGCAGAATTGCCAAAACACTGCTTTTAACATGAACTGGTCTTTAAAGAGAAAGCCTCTTTCTGCCTGAGAAAGAAACAACGTTTTACAAAATGGGCTTTTTCTTGAGAGTTGCTTTTTTTTTTTCTCCCCCCACAGAGTGTTAATCTTTGAGTTTAAAGAGAGCACACAGGAAATTTGCCAAGGCAGGGAGGATATTCAGAAGTGTGTGTGATCTGTTCGGTTGCATAAAAAACCCTGAGTTACTTCAAACATTTCTGAGTAGTAATAATATTTTAGGCAAAAAACTCCTTCACACCAATATATCGAGTCTTTTTGGATCAAAGCTCCATTTGCAAATACAGTTTCATCCCATATGCCAGTGAAAATTATTGTTTGCATACGACCAGTCTTTCACGAAGGGATTTTATTTCTCCTTAGAGGAGGGGTTTTATCTGTAGAAAGCTGCGAGTGTTAAATTAGGAGCAGGATACCATGTTTAATCAGGGAGAATGCCTTCCCTTCCCCAACTGTAGTTTTAAACTGCACTTTCTCATTTAAGGCTGTCGGACTGGGTGCCAGGTTCATCAAGTTGGGAGGTCTTGCCCGCGGAGAAAGGGTGACCAAATACAACCGCCTTCTTGCTATAGAGGAAGAACTGGCCGAGAATAGAACGCTACGTATGAGCTTCTTTCTTACTTTGTTTTCAGCTCGCAATGAATACGGGAACAAAGATTGGAGGGAGAATGATTGAAACTGCACCACAGGAGGGAAGTGAAATCAAAAGACTATAAATAAGCGCTGACAAAAAAAAACGTAGGATAGCACTTGCCACAATGTATATTGTTGTCCTAATGGATTATCTGTTTACTGAATGTTAAAATAGACCCCTTCTTGAGGAGTAGCCCACATTAAGCTTTTCTCCAGAATTAATTGGTTGGAGTCTTGAAGCCCACAGTGCAAAAAGGAACAAAACAAAACCCATGCATGTAACATGCCGAAAAGCTGCCAAAATGGAATTTTAGGCCAAATACCCCACCTCCCTGGAGCCCCTAAACAGATATTGCTAACAAAACTTCATTTCACAACCCTCCTTTGTGCGTTACATTTCCAGCAGAATGTGTTTGGAAAGCTCCAATTGCATAGGGAAGCAGGAAATAAAACCCAAGAAAACCTGAAGCTGGCAATGCACATTCAGCCTGAGCCACTCGTACGCATCTGCCTGCGTTTCAGCATCTGCATCTTCTTTTTACACCCTTAGCTACCCTGTTAAACGCTTAACAGTTCATTAGAGGCACTGCTCACTTGCTCAGGTATCAATCAAGGCAGAATAAAGGCATACAGGCTGAAGGGGAAGCAGAGACAAGGGGAGGAAGAAAGGAAGGAAAGGGTTTGCAGGAATTGCATTGTGCCAAAGAAAAAGACACATGAAGGAGAATTTAAGTCATTTTACCCTCTTATTTCTCATCATTTTCAATGTGCTATACACAGGGTAGCAGTACTTGACATGCACACTATAGAACAAAGTTTTTATGTTAGAAGAATTTGTACTGAAATCTGAGTTGCTGAAATCTCCCCCTTGCTCATGTATAACCTGATAAAGAAACAGAAGAGCAGAAATTCTTCTTTTTGCTAAGAAAGTGGTTTCACAGAATGCACTTCTCAAAAAACAAGACAGATAATTACAGAACTATAAATCTGAGCTGCCTCAGGCATAGTAATGTGTTCCCTATTCAAATGGTATAGTCTAAACAAAAGAGCTTGAGTTTGACAAATATTTAGACCTATATCTCATAAAATGAAAGAGCAACAATTCCCCACGCCGTTAATCGCTTGGCAGCAATAAAATCAGTAACTAAATCAACAGCAGGGAAATATTGAGATAGGGCGTCTGAGCTGCATACCAAGCTCTTCATTTGCCTGCGCTGTGAGCCGTGGAATACACCAGAGAGCTGGGAAGTCGAGGGCTCTCTAAGTGGCTCATGGATGGGAGGTGGCACTGGCCCATCAGGAGTTGTCACCCTGGAGTGGCTGCAGGGGGCCTGCAGCTGGGCCAAGGAGTACCCCTACATTGGGCAAGCTCAGGTCTCCAGTGCCTGGTCCCTGCTCCCTACAGGTCAGTCCAAGCCTTAGCCTCAGTGCAGCCCCTCTGCTGGCGTGTGCATCAGTCGCTGGGTTCACGTGGCTGTTGCGTGTGAGCTGCTCGCAAGAGGAATCGGAGAATCCCAGACTGGTTTGGGTTGGAAGGGGCCTTAAAGCTTAACCAGTTCCAACCCCCTGCCACGGGCAGGGACACCTTCCGCTGGAGCAGGTTGTTCAAAGCCATGAATCACACACTAAGAAGTAGTCTGTACTACAAGGGAACATACAGCTGAGCCATGTCGGGGTGGGCACTTGTGCCTGTGGCAAAGCAGTGAGTGAGGTGGTGAGGTAAGGGAAAGGAGTCTCACAGAGCTGGGGAAAACAGCAGTGAGAAGATGATGAAGTGTTAGTTTCAGGAGCAGTGGCTGAGTGTGGGCTTACATGAGGTTGTGACAGGCCAGGGTAGAGAAATGGCATGGTCAGCTGAGGGGAACTTCTGCAAGAGCAGCACTGCAGAGTAAGATGGGTGTTCAAAACAAGGGCAGCAAGATGATTAGTGAAGAAGGGAATGTGCAACAAACACCCCAGCTCAGGCTGCTGTCCACCATGCCCTGTAATCAAAGTGCAGGCCTGGTGCTCCTTCATTTATAAGGACCATAGGAGGGCCACAAAAATGCTGGAGCAGCTCTGCTCTGGAGCCAGGCTGAGAGAGCTGGGCTGAGTCAGCCCGGAGAAGAGAAGGCTCCTGAAGGGGAGACCTTAGAGCAGCTCCAGTGCCTAAAGGGGCTGCAGGAAAGCTGGAGAGGGGCTTGGGACAAGGGCCTGTAGGGACAGGACAAGGGGAATGGCTTTAACCTGCCAGAGGGGAGACTGAGATGAGCTCTTAGGCAGAAGCTCTTCCCTGTGAGGGTGCTGAGGCGCTGGCACAGGGTGCCCAGAGAAGCTGTGGCTGCCCCATCCCTGGCAGTGTTCAAGGCCAGGTTGGACACAGGGGCTTGGAGCAAGCTGCTCTAGTGGAAGGTGTCCCTGCCCATGGCAGGGGGTTGAAACCGGATGAGCTTTAAGGTCCCTTCCAACCCAAACCACTCTGTGATTCTATGACCAGCTTGTAAAGGTGTTTCCAGGCTCTCATAAGCATCACATATCCCTGGTAAAAAAATCCAAGTGCGCCAGAGAACATTACAGGAAACCAGATTCCAGCAAACATTAATTTTTTTTTCTCTTCTATTTCAGGTGAACCAACTCTTGAATTTATTGCTTTTCCTTATGAAACACAGCCAGAAGAACCTTCTGATGAACTCGCTCCCTCCACAGCTCTCCTAGACAGCCCCACAGGTTCACAGCCTGTCTGCACAGCTCCCGGCAAGCAGCATACTGACTGACCCAGGTTGTCAACATTCACTTCTGGATAAATTCCTAAAGAAAACCCTGTTCTAGTAAGAAACTCAGATACTAACTCTTCTTTAATCCATTTTAAAGGCATTTAAATGGTAGTAGCTTCCCTTTTCCACTGCTTTCAGCTGAAACTAAGTTAACTGAGCGGTGGCTGTAGTCTGAAAACACCCCCAAATTCTGTGCTGTATTTACAAACTGACCAAACAAATACCTCTGTGTTAAGTCCAAAACTAAATGTTTGTTTTGGGAAAGTGGAAATCTCTCTCCACACAAAGAGCAAGCTATTGACAAACAGTAAAAAACCAACAACAAAGCCCTTGACTGTTATCCTGCTCCATCTCCCCCCCCCCACCCAGCACTCTCAATGCTGCTCTTGGAGCCTACATGGGGAGCTGTGCTCCAGTTCTAGTCAACATCAGCACAAGTGCATCTGTGCAAACCCCAAATGTAGGGCACAAAGCTGTAATTGGCATCGCCAGGAAGCCTCAGCCGCAGACAGGGAGTAACAAGTCAACTGCACAAGGTCTGGGAAACTTGTCAGGAGTCTTTTTAATAAGCACCAGAGAAGAGATAAATAAGTAATTGATGTCCGAGGTAACAAACAGCTCAAGTGAAAGAAAGAGTCTTTAAAAAACTTGTGGGTTTGGTACCATTTGAAAATTAGAACATATAATACAGAAGCAGTAATTCCAGAGGAAAAATACATATATAAAATGTTGCATTTTAAATTCAGTGTAACAGATACCCAAGAGAAAAATGAACCACCAGACCCAATCCCCGACCCCCCAAATGGGGATATCAATGAGAGACAAATTTCCCCAAGTTTAGGAATTCTCGGTAGTCCTGTAATTAGACCAAGTCCAAGATTTTCTCAGCAAACATGCAAAAAGCACCAAAGAAGATGTGAAACTACCACACTCGTTACTATCATTTTATTGGTAGGGAAAGCACCAGACAGTTGCATGCAGAGCCAAACCACCAAACTCAGAACATTCACCCATCACTACTATCACTGTTTCAAATCATGAAATAAAAAAGAATCCAAGTGCATTCAAGTACTTGACCACCCAATTTCAGTTACACCCACCTTTAGGTAAATCCCTGATTACATTTGTTTGTTCGTTATAAAAGGATGAGATACCGTGTTGGATTTAAGAAGAGACTACAATGGAATGTGAGTTGGCAGTGGAGGGAATGGGTGACATACCTGTCCCACTGCCTTCACAGGAAGTAAGGGCTGAGGGAAACAGGGATTTGTGTTATCAAATACAGACATCTAAAGTGTTACCTCATCAAGTAATTAATGCCGCCAGTGTGTACCAGCTGCAAAGCAAAGGCTGATCTGTTAGTGCTGCAGCTTTCAGCTGGAAGCTCTCAAAATGCTGATGCCAAATAACTTGGTCCCAGGATGAGTGAATCCCAAATGTGCTCCATGATCAGGGAGCCTAGGATAAGTTGTTCTTTTGCAGTTTTAAGTGCAGACTCCCCTTGCAGCAGTTCCACACTTTGCTGTGTACACTGAAACAAAACTCAGGATGTAAATCATCCTTTGAAAAGCTTTTCATCCAAATGAGAGCACCAGCTTCAGCTCACACACTTCTGGCTTATCATCACCAGAAGTCTCGGTACCAAAATAATGCTGCACTGCCTCTGCTTTTCAGTCCCTGACCTGGCTGGCCACTGGGGAGTCTGAAACAGACATGGTGTGCTTGTGCTTTCAGCTTCCTCACAACAGCCTCTGTGGAGAGGGCAGGGAGGAGACCTACGAGGTCCTGGTTTAAGTAGATACCAAAATACTTTCAAACCAATGTGTCCAAACGCTGATGTTTTTACTAATGGGTAACCCCCCACTGTACAGCTGATATGTGTGTTATCACCTTCATAGGGTCTAACCCAGACCTGTGCAGTTCAGAAGGGCTGCAAGGGGCTTCTGGCAAGCTTTGGAATGGACAAGGCATCTTCTCAGTAAAAGAATAATTTCAAAAGCCTTTTCAAGTACAGTTTAAAGTAAAGGTAACTGACCCTATCTAAGAAAATAATAACCATAGCTGCAAAATTAACACAGAAATGGGATTTTGAGGGATATATTGTTATGTAACACTTTAAAGCATGTAACAAAACTGCAGTACAAAAGACCATTTCAATGTCTATTACTGAAAACCAGTTGAAGAACAGACCGCAGCCCCTAGTAACACACCTAAGCAACCCACATGTCCTGATAATGATTCCCAAAAAGTTACAGCCTTTCCAAACAACAACTAACAGTTAGAGCTGTCTGTTTCTTTGATTTTCCCAACAGTAGTTTCTTTATGCAGGGGCTTGAGTTTTCCTTCTCTCATTTTGTTCTGGCTCAGCGCGGCTTCAGACATCTGCTCCCCACTGGTGGAAACGGGATCTAAAACCACCACGGATTCTGTCTCTTTTTCACCACTAGAAGCTTTTCTTGTGAATTCTGGATGACTAGTTGATCTAAAGGGAAAAGAACACATGTATTTATACTTACATAAATATATATACTCATATAATACAGAAAACAGTTCACATATTTAGGAGAAAGAATATAAATATACAGAAGAACATTTCTATTTGTAGTAGCACATACGACCAGGATAGGTCTACTCAACTAGTAAACAGATTTGTAGATTTAACAGCTGTTTCAAAGAGAGTGTAGTGCACTAAATGCAAGTCACATTAACCCCTTCTGAACCATGGAAGGTGCTGAACAGGAAAAATGAACTCACAAGGCACTGAGTAAACCCTTACACTATGAAAGAATCAGTTTAAACATAGCCTTTAAGAATTCATTTTCTCTCTGCTCATGGGTTTAGGTTCCCCCACGTCCAACAGAGCAGCTGCTCTGGAAGGAAATGCTACCAGTTCCTAATAGTCCTGCAGCCCAAAGCACGGCTGCTTCTCCACACCTCCATCCAGAGCAGCTTACACAGGGCTTTCACTACTACGCTCTTCCATACCACAGGGAGCAGCAGCAGCGTAACCAGATCTTCCATGTGGCTCAGCACCAGCAGGCTGCTAGTGGTCTCAGCGGGAGCAAGTGCAAGTGATTTCTCAACATTCACTTGCTGCATTTGCTGGAACAGAGGGTGCAAAACCTGCATTCTGTACTGCACAAACAGGGTTACACCTCGGTGCCTGGCCAGGCAGGGATTCGTGCAGATAAAAAACCCCTCAGAGCACGGAGAGGAAGGAAAGGTCAGAGACACCAGCGTTTGTTGTCGAGGCTGGCATCATGCTATAAATACTAAAAGCACCTGTCTGTATTCAAAAGCTTTGTACTATGTTGAAAACATGCAGGCAAATCCTTACATTAGCTAAAACACACCAGCAGAAATTCAGAGAATCACAGAATGGTTTGGGTTGGAAGGGACTTCAAAGCTCATCCAGTTCCAACCCCATTGCTGTGGGCAAGGACACCCTTACATCAAATACTGACCAAGCCACAGATGGGGGGATCTCCTTTGCAGGAGGCATGTGCTTCCCACACCACCACATCGCACTTCCTAAGCCTGCTGGTCTCAGTGCCAAGGGTGTGCAACCCAGCACAGTTAGGGCAGTGCCACACTGTGCCCTCCTGCTTGTCCTTGGGCAGGGCCACACACACCACAGTGTAGGTGTCCACACCAACAGCCACTCAACGGGCAGGGATGCCTTAAGCAGGAAGGTCCTACTCATACCAGCGGGTGTGTGGCTCTGCTCTCCCCAGCAGCCTCACTGCAGAGCTGCCAAATACAACGGCATCTGCTAGTCCAGAGCCTTTTGTTTTCCTTTTTGCTGTTCTGTTTTATTTATTCTTTACATTTTCCACGCTTACTGCTATGGAACATCCTTCCACCCTGCTACAGTAACACCCTCGAAAGGAAAAGCAGTAGAATCAACTGGAGGGCAGAGAAAGAAATTCAGCTACAGGATCCATCTGCCATGAACCGCCCTTTATTGTGACAGTCTTTGTCCTAGAGAAAATGACAAAGCAAAAAGAGGTCACCCCACGCCACAGAGCATGGGGCGGGGAATGTGCTGGCTCCCACCTGATAGAAGAAGGGAAAGGCACAGGTTAAACCCAAGCACATAATCACACAAACAACAGTTGTTGCCCTTTCCATTTCAGACGGGATTTACTCAGCTTGCTGCTGGATAGAGCAAATGAAATTCCATGTTCAAGCTTTAATGACGAGAATTGTCTCCAACATTAGAACTTTGCTGTAAGTTAATTAATGCGGAAATGGGTGCTAATAGACACAGTTTCACGCTCATTTGATTACCATCAGAAGGCAGTGATTTCATAAGGAAAATAATGCTTATTTTATGCAAAAGTTGCCAATCATTCCAGAAAATACAAGCCAGGGTATTGGGGACCTTACAGCAAATTAAACTTTTTAAAGCAGTGTAACCAGAAGAGGGTTATTTTTAAAAGTGCTACCCTCTGAAAAGCTGATTGCCCAACATCATCAAAATGGTCAAAGCCATAAATGCCAAGTTCATTTTTATTTCACTTTGGAGGTAACTATCTTTCCAATCCCAACAGCTGGACTATTTAATACAATCTGGTGAATCAAAGTATAATTCTTCAGTGGGCTCACAGCGGGGAGTCTGCATTAGTGTATGGCAGCATTCCAACAACTGATGCACGGCCAAGCGCGCTCAAGTCTGTTTCATTTCTAACAGAAATGGATAAAACTGCAATCATATTTACCACCTTCAAAGGACAGAAAAATGAAAGATGTCGATATAAAGTAGTTTAATGGAGAAAACCAGTGATTAAATCAGCGTTTCCAGCATAAAAATAAGAATTACTATTCAGACTTTGTTGTACTACCACTCCCTTCTTCAAATCCCTTACGGCACCCGTCTGACGGTGATGCTGTTACAGCTGAGGTGCTGTTAAAATCATTAACCCTGTGTACCAGGTGTTCCCAGCTCCTTTTCAACAGTTTGTCACAAGCAGAATGCAGGTGGAGCGAAGTTTCAGTGCAAGAATGAGCATCATTTGGTGCTCCCTTTCAATAACCGGGTTTGACTGCTAGAAATGAAGCTGGGGAAAGCAATTCATGCAGATACAGGGAGCCACAGCTTTGAACTGTTACAGATCTGTCCAGCCAAGATACTTGCATTTAGTTCCATATAAAACTCTTCCCTCATTATGACTGTTAATGCTGTTATCAGTATTCCTGTTATTTGTCCAACTATGTAAGCCAGAAATAGAGAATGTCGTTCTACTGTTCTCATTCATACATCGATGTTCATAAGCCTGCACGTATTTTTATGACTAAACACATAAAACCTGTACTGATTTAGATGTTAAGGGTGTTTTAGGTTAATTATATGTGACATGCAAAGTCCCACGCAGTGCAGAGGACTGCTTGTGATACAAGAGTACCAAACTATTTCTATAGTTACAAAAGGATGAAAATAAAGGGTTACGCCTGACGGGCCATCCATGCGCTGGTACTGCTGTTCCCTTAGTAAATAATTTACAGCAGAAGTACAGAAGGACAAACTAGGGCTTGGATTGTCAACTGAGACTTGGAGTTTCTTTGTTTCCTCTGGTTAATGTTATAATCTGGGTATGATTTAACCTTGCTCGGTGCACTATGCCCAAAACCATTGTACTGTGGTTCCATTAGAAAACAGAGTTTTGTGTAAATATTATAGAACACATGATTGGAGCAAGTCCCATCCTATTTTTAACTATACGTAAAAGCAGAAAGCTAAAGGAAACCAGTCAAGGAAAACACTGTAGGAAAATCTATGGGGTTTACAGCATATTCAGAAAATACCAGCAAAAATCTATTCTGGCAAAGATGGTTTTGCATGGAGGGGACTCTGCCCGGAATCCGAGGTGGCAGGAATGAAGGCATTTCTGCTGCAGGAGCCAGCGCCAACAGGGCACCAAATCAGCTCCCTGATCTGCGACACTGAAATAGCTGTCAGCTGCCTGCAAACAAAACTGCTTTCAAAGACAAAGTAACACTGAACCCTTAGTCCCCAAAAGATGAAATATGAAGTATTAAGATAATCTGACAGCTGCTCACCACCAGTTGCTTCTTTGTAACACTTAAAAACCAGGCTGCCATGTCACTCACAGAACCATACAATCTCACTGGTTTGGGTTGGAAGGGACCTTAAAGCTCATCCAGTTCCAACCCCTGCCACAGGCAGGGACACCTTCCACTAGAGCAGCTTGCTCCAAGCCCCTGTGTCCAACCTGGCCTTGAACACTGCCAGGGATGGGGCAGCCACAGCTTCTCTGGGCACCCTGTGCCAGCGCCTCAGCACCCTCACAGGGAAGAGCTTCTGCCTAAGAGCTCATCTCAGTCTCCCCTCTTCAGACCCAACCCAACCAGCCCACGGAGCCAGGTGAACTCCAGTGCAGGACAGTGGGTCCCAGCACACAGGATGACACCACGTCTGTCTGTGCCAAGCCAGACAACAGGAGTGCTGGCTCCCTTTTATCCTCCATCAAAAACGAACTGAGAATAGAAGTGAAACTGCAGATGTGTCTACTAAATATTCCAGAATTCTTAACAAGGCAGGGAAATCCAACAGACAGGACCAAAGCCTAACACAAAACAGTAGTAAAATACCCACTAATTCTAAGTCTTCAGTGAACAAAAAACTCCATCACACTGCGGTATCTGCCAACATGAAATTACAGGGGATACAAAAGGTGAAGCTACTGAATTTGTCTGTTGGTTCCCTTTTCCGATTTTTAGGTGCTGTTTTGAAAATGCCCAAACAAAAAGACTGGCAATGAAGAGGCTCAGAAAGCTTCTGCCTGCACTGAGAGCACATAAGAAATACACTCATAACATATGGAAAACATCTTACAGTCTCTTTTCAACCAGTGAAAACTGAGGAGACCTCAAACTTCCAGAACATCCCATTGTTTCCTTCATCTGTTGTTCACACTAAATTGCCCATGCTCAAGCTGCAATGGCAAACCTCTGCAATGGTGTCTGGCTGGGGCTGAGCTGCTTCCCGCAGAGCTGGTGGATGATGCAGGGCTACTAAGATTACAGCCAGAAGGAGGACAAATCCTTTAATTGTATAAAATCATCAGATTAAGACTAACCCTCTCTGTGGTTCCCTGTGAGCAGGGAGCTCTGCTGCCCAGAAACTCAATGTTTATAAAGTGCTGGGAAGAAACCAAACCCAAACCCCCAAAAGCAGCAGGGCAGAGCCAGACACACCTTCCCCTTCTGGGTCTACACACCGCAGGGGGGCACAGGAACTCTCCTTGCTCACAAGGGAACTAAATTGTCACCTATTCTCCTTTAAGCAATTGTCACCAAATTGCACGCCTGCTGGATTAAACATTTGGGAAGAGATCTGCAGATTACCTGAATGCTGAGGTAAAGCCTCAATTTCCCTACAGGATACACACCATTGATGTCTTTCCCCTCAGTACCACCTTCCACACATTCATCATCTGCTGAATGGCTTCAGACCTTTCTTCTAACAGCCTCCTGCACTGAAATAACACCTCACCTGGGGGTTCAACCCCCAAATTTCTCACCTGAATTAACTTCTCTAAGCTATTGCCACTTTGATTAAAATAATATTTCAGAATCCACCTGATTCACCATGGCCAGGTGGATGGGGCTTGGAGCAACCTGCTCTAGTGGAAGGTGAACCTGCCCATGGCAGGGGGTTGGAACTGGATGAGCTTTAAGGTCCTTTCCAACCCAAACTATTGTGCGATTCCATGAACCTGTGTTTATGGATCTTACAGCCCTTTTCCACAACCCCTCTTTAGGCGACTCAGGAGCAGCCCAGAAGTAATCACACCATGTGTGGAGTCCTACTGCAACCAAAGACTGGAATTGCTTACCCCATGCCTGTGTATTTGGGTTGGATTGTCACCGATTTGGGGGTGGGGAGGATCCAGGGTTTCACTCAATGAGCTAACTCCTCTCTGGGCATTGTTCACAGATACATTCTCAAGACTGGCTCTTTTTCAAAGGCACAACCTTCTTTCTCTGTCAGAATGGGTGTGCTCAACTGTTACTCACCGTGAATAGAGAATGATGAATAGGGCTGTCCACATTTAAATGTCTGTCTGTATTACCTCCTCCTTCACATTACTAGCCTTAGGAAATCGATGGTGCAGCAAAGAGAAATAGCTCATGCACACCTATTCCTCAGGTTTTCTATAGGAAGCTGTACATTAAGATCTGGGTGAAGAAAGAGGAATAAATATGCACAGTATGGGACCTGCAATCCTCTGCTGTGCTATAAACTGGCTGCTGCAAACAGTCAAAGCAGGTCACACCTCTGTCAGATTGCAAGGAATTGCAAATGATGAGGCAGCTGCATCCTCTTACCTCAGGTATGAATAAGGAGAAGAGCTACAATAAAGCTTTTGTGTGCCTTTGACACTTCGGCTACCTGTACCAGGGCCTAATTGGGGAAAGAGCGGTTCATGAGAAGCAGGCATGTAGAGGGAAACAGCCTGTGCTTCAGACCAGTGTCCTGTCAGTGCAGGGGGGTTATTCACTGAACTAGCTCTGATATGGCCCCTGGGCCAGCCCCTACAGGCTGGATCACATCTTCTGGCTTAGTTTCAGTCTTCCAGTGAGTCCAGGGATCCAGTTTACGCACTAAGAGCACTCCAGGATACAAATCAAAGCATGGCAAATCATGGACAATGAAGAGATGCTCTGCTGATCCAGACTGAACCGCAGGTAGAGATGGACCCAGGGAAGCCCAGAACGCTGCCTAACCACAAAGCCATGCTGTCAGACAAATGAACTTCCTTCTGATGTCTGCATCACATCAGCCCTGTTTCAAAACAGCACATACACACCTTGGAGTCCAGACAGTACCCAGGAGAAAGTAACTGCAAAAGCATCTGGGTTATCTCTGCTCCTCCCTGCCAGCCCAGCAGCAGAGTAGGAGAGCCACAGCCCCTTCTCTCTTGCTGTAAAACCATCCTCAAGGATGAACCTTTCCAATTAAGCAGGCTTACACCAGTGGCTGGCTGCAAAGATGCCCCACAGCGCTACGGAATCTGGCCCACTGCATTTGTTTTAATGCTTTAAACAGATAAATTAAAGTGAAATGTGTCTTTCAGGATGTCACTGAATAGGCAAGCTGAGAAATAAATTGAGCTTCACGTATGCTTTTATAACACATAACAACTGTGACTGTCAACACAAGATCCTTTTCACTGTCAATTCATCACGCATTCTGCAAGACCTTGGGGCCTGCAATTATTTCATTTCCTTTCTTGTAAATGCAATTTCCACTTAGTTTGGTGGAATAAAGGTAGACAAAAGGGGGTAGGAGTTGCTGTTTTTCTGATTAAGGTTATCTGCTCAAAACTGAAGAAATCCACAAACTACACACACGGTATTTTTCAGGAACAGCCTCACCTTTCTGTTAGGGTAGCAGTTCAAGAAAACACAATGGCATCACTCCTGTCAAATTAGCTGCGGAACCAATCGTCATCTTTCGGATTAAATTCAAATGAAGATCGCCTTTCTTTTAAGAATACTCAGATGAAATCAAAAGGAAAAATACACATGACTGGAAAAGGCATTCTGCTTTTAAAACTTGGTGTGAAGGAAATAAAACTGCAGAGCACAAAAGGAAATTGGGCTCTTTAGCCATCCAAAACTAAATGATAGAAGTACCTGCACGAGAGGGAAACAAACACCAGCCCATAAAAATAGATGGGAATTGAATTTCCAGCTCATTTGTCATGACTTGCTCCTTTGATCCAAGCAATGGAGACTTGCTACAATTGGTACTGGTGGTATTTTCTTACTGACAGAGCAGGAAACCAGAGGTTTAATTAACCACGATTACAATATTCTGCCAATCTGATTTGTCTCATCCACTCCCTTTTCTTGCAGTGACAAACTGACAAACAACCCGACAAGGGAACTGAAGCAAGTGCACAGCCCAATTTCAAAAGGAGCTTGGTATTGTTGTAAAACAAACCAGTCCTCCAGGAGATATATCTGTAATAAGTATTCCTGAAGCAGGTTTAACTCTTTGATGCTTTGGATCTTCAGGCTGTCATGACAAAAGATTCTGCTGCCCATCTGTGCAAATGCAGCACCAACTATATGTTGGTTTGGGGTTTCTTGAAGAATTCATCTTGAGATTTCCGGCTAATTCAGAGCTTTCACCAGCAAACATTTAAGAGTAATAGCGAGGACTTCTTTGGGTCCAACAGGACCTGCCCTGTACACGGACCAGCATGGATTGCATGATTCTAGTTTTTAACATACTGTGCTAGAACTGCCTTTTTTAAATCAAAAGTTAACTGTGTAACTATCATCCCTCTTCAGGACATGGAAAGAACCCTGAACCTTGCTATTCCTCTTAAAACCCTGAGCTGTCTTTTTTGGCAGAGAAGATGAATGGGTTTTTAAAGAATATTCACAGATTTTACAGGGAAATAACTTCATCTCAGAGAATTCAATTTCTACCTCCATGTGAGACTTCAGATTCTTTGAGGAGTCAGTGGTAACCAGCTGCAGACTGTACGTATATCATAGAATCACAGAATCATTAGGGTTGGAAAGGACCTTAAGATCATATCCTCTTAACCAAAACTGGTATTAAATTTATGTGAAATTAAAAACATAATAGGGTATATTTCCTAATAATAAATACATAATGAAGTGGCTGGCCCACCCCTGCAGTGTTCAAGGCCAGACTGAATGGGGTTTGGAACAACCTGCTCTAGCAGAAGGTGTCCCTGCCCGTGACAGGGGGTTGGAACTGGATGAGCTTTAAGGTCCCTTCTAACCTAACCATTCCATGATTCAGTGAAGTTACATTCAAAATTCACCAATTAAACAGATCTGATACTAAAACACATCCAGAGATCCACATTCTACTTACTGTAGTGTAGGCTTGCAGCCTGTTACTCCCTTAAGCTGGTTAGAGGTGGGACCTGAGTCAGGAACTTGGGAAGTGAATTGTGCCTCCAGGTCTTTCTTGTTCAGGGCTGTTTGTGCAGCACTGGCTCCAGAACCTAGCACAGGCAGAGATTTTGATTCTGATGTGGCCAAGATTCCAGTGGGACCTAAAACCCAAAGAAAGTTTAATGCTTCTGGTATCCTGGTCTAGGAACAACACATAAGCACAGCAGAATTCAAGCTAACTGCAGAAATCAGTTAACAAACAGCATTCAGTGAATGGAGAGGATCAAAACACCGTATCACACAGTATGCCACACAGCCTCTGCTCTCCCCACCAAGATCAGCCCCGTCTTGTACCATGAGCAGGGCTTGGTACATCAAGTTGTGCACTCAACCCCTTTACCTTCTGCGATGGTAAGTCCCATTGCTCACACAGCACTAACTAGTCACAATTTGGCCATGCTCTCCCAGCAGATGTGCAGCTGGAGCAGGAACCAGCCCAACAGCACAAAAGCCTCTTCTCATACTAGTGAGTACTCAGCGAACTCTCTATCTGTGAAGTCCAAGCTAAAACCATGCAGTGACACTGAAACTAGTTACACCTGCATCGACTCTGGCATGGGCTTACACTTGCACTGACTGTTTCTAATCAGGCAGAAGGTCAATAAATGATAGTAAAGCATAGCTTAAAAACTGCTGAACCTTGCTCTGCAGAAGAGATTGATTCAAAATCAGTCCTAAACCCTCGTTTGTCTGGTTACCATTACTTGTTTCACAGTAGGCTCAGACTATTAACTCCAGTAACAATGTCTGAGCTCCAGGCAGGACAGAGTAACCTGTGTCTATATGGCTGCGTGCGCAGGAAATCCTGACAGAAGCATCTCTTGGAGAAAATGGGGATGGAAAGCGGCAGGAGCGATGGGGAAGTGAGTCACTGCAGAGGTAAGCAGAGTTCTCCAGAATGGCTGAAATGGCAATGGTCTGGAAGAGAAAGTAAAGCTTCAAGAGTCACTTAATGCAGGGAGAGGAAGAGGACTACAAAGAGTCCAGCCACTTACTGCCACTGTCCTGGTCTGTGGTCACTTTCCGGCGCCGCAGCACTCGCTCCAGCTCTGTTTCACTGCTGTCTGTTTCGAGGGACTTCAAGCTTCGGGAACTAGTGGATTTATTCAGTGTTTCCTACAGCAAGAAACAGGCATGAGAAGCTGAGGACACACTGTGGTGCCTTGCCAAACATCCCACGTGCACCTTTTAAACAGCATAAAAGCAACTGCAGTTCTAGACCAGAGTGCAAAGCTCTTCCTTTAGTGCAACAGTGAGCATCTGGGGACTGGCTTACCACTCCTCCCCTTACTTGGATTTCCTGATGTAGGGATTAACCACACTTACCTACATATTAGAAGATTGATATCAGGCTTAAGAAAGATGCTCTGGATCATTAATGAACAAATTCTGATGTTTGCAGGGAATTGCCAACTGCCTCTATCTTAACATTTAAAGGATCTTATAAAAAACCTGCTACAGCATTAGCATGCCCAGAATTAACCTTTTGGCAAAAAGCCAAAGATCTATATTTTACATGATGTATGTTTTAGCATGATCCTGTGTTGCTGCATCCTGGTACGTACATGAATATGCAGAAGTCAATACATATTAGCTGCAACTGCAGCACGCTATTATATCCTGTATCTAGCTCATCTGCCATAACCCTCACCCTGTGCCCTTGTACTTCATGTGGACAGAGCTAGATCTCAAGCTGAAAGTTTTTTAAACATAGAATAATCAAGTGGTTTGGCTGAAAGGGGCCTTAGAGCTCATCCAGTTCCAACCCTCACACACGACGGGCAGGGACACCTTCCACTAGAGCAGCTTGCTCCAAGGCCTGTCCAACCTGGCCTTGAACACTGCCAGGGATGGGGCAGCCACAGCTTCTCTGGGCACCCTGTGCCAGCACCTCAACACCCTCATGGGGAAGAATTTGTTCCTAAGATGTAATCTAAATCTTCCCCTACATACAGAATACATGTTCCAAAACATGTCTGACTCATACAGTGGTTTTCCAGGGACTAAATATTAACATCTTTTGTTGACAGGCACATAACTGCTGAGCAGAAATAGCAACTGACAACAAGAAATGGCATCACAAGCTGCAAAAGCTGTGCTGCCTTGGGATCCCAGCAAAGTAACTTGTTCTTTATCCCTGCCCCAAAAATTCAAGTGTTCTCTTTGGCAACTATTAGAACTTGAACTGAGCAGGGACATTAATAATCAGCAGCACGCTCCAGATCCCTACAAACATGCACATACCAGAGCAACTTGAGCAACGGAGTCCCTCAAACTCTGCAATTTACAGAGCATAAATGAGGTTTGTGTGTAACAATTAGATGGAGGCCTATGTGAAATGCACAATTAGCGGAGTAACAACAAATGTTTGCTCCACCACATCCCACCCCCATGTTTGTTGTCTGACTGTGCGTAATGATCGGTCTCGAGAATAGACTGGAATTGGATTTTATACAGTTTGTCTCACACTGCAAATATCCTGAAGGGCTCAAAAGCAACGAGCCAGATACAGAAGGGCAGTGACTGCAGGTTTCTCTCTGCTCCCTCTTAAGTACATAATCGATCAAGTCTCCCCTGATGTCTGTGGTACAGTGTCAAAGACATTAAAGAGCTATCAGAAAAGGAAAGGACCTTCAACAGGACCCTTCAGCCCAACCCTCTCTGGTCCAAACAGCTCACCACATCAAATCAAACTACTCCTGTAATTACAGAGTTCCATTTTAAACATAACCTCCGTGTGGCGTTTTATTCCTTTTCTATTTACCTTCACATTTAATTATGTGTCCCTCTAATTAGTGCTCAGTGTTAAGGTCTGGTGGCTCTCTAGATCATTTCTTCTCTTCCTCCCCTGCTTTCATGTGACTGCTGAACTGTGAGTTTAACACAACGGTGGTACACACTCATGATTTTAAATCACAGCACAGGCTGTGGCTACACTCTTTACTCTCTAGTCTTCCACCATCCAACACAACACTGAAGTTATTTCTATAAGAGCTGTTTAGGTGCTACCACAGATGGTCAGAATGATTAGCCCTACCTTCTGTAGAGTGGATGCGAAGGATTTTGATTCAATGCAGGCAGAATGTCACTGTATTTCACCTTACAAAGGCAAAATTTCACCTGATGTGCCAAAGTTACACTTCAAATTCAAAAGCCTCAGGGTCAGGGAGAAAGAACTACAGCTCCTTCTGACTGATACAATTTTAGCACTTGTGCAAATGAAGCCATCAGTTAAATAAGCAATGCACTGTATGAGTAAAGGACAAAACAGGAGCAACCTTAGCACATTGCTCTGAGCAGGACCAAACACACGCCTGATGTTTGTATTTAGTGATAAATGGGCATATGGACAGCTACTCAGAATCAATGTTTTCTACACATTCACATGCAGACAGACTAGAGAACTCTTGCTCTATTTAAACTATGCCTACCCTATCAAGAAATTGGGTGACTCAGGAGCAGGAGTTCAGAGCAGTTGATGAGGAGAACCCCACACCTACTGTATGCGCAGTCCAAGGGCTTCACTTCAGACTAGACACAGATACTTGGCTGCCTCTCCCTCCCTAAGCATCCCCACTGTGAGCACTTGGAATGTCTCCAGAGCGTCCATGGCAGGTGCAGACTGTAACATCCCCTCTAGTGGCAGGAACATACACGTCCAGAGCAGTTAGCAGGCTAGTTTTCTCCCACATAAATTCTGTTAGCAAAGCAAAAACCCAATCCTTCAGTCGGACCAAAATTAAAAGTGGAATTGGTGGATTCACTCCAAACCTGCTCTACAGCTTTAAACCAGAACACTAATGGAGCAGCTTCCAACACTCAGCTATTTTGGGCAGAAGGCCCTGTCAGCTCAACGAGAAGAAACTGAAATACAAACTCTTAAGTTTTCTTACCAGAATCCCTTTTAATTCTTTCATTGCACTTTCGGAGGGCTTTGGTGTTTCTGGCTGTAAACAAACACAACACGTTAAAAACCACGTGAAATGGATCATGACAGACTTTGTACTTGAAGACAGACATGGCATGCACTTGAACACATGCAGGCACACAGTTGTGTTATGCTCCTCTGCTTTCTCCTCTCATGGGCTATCATCCAAAATACTATCTTATATGGATGATGGGAAGACTTAGCAGGCTGTGAGTCACCCTTAACCCTGTGAATCACAGCCTATCCATAAAGATTATGCTTTTCTGAACATGGTAAGCAATATCTTATTGTAGCCAAGTTCAGGTATTAGTCTTCAGTACTGTGTAACAGGAATAAATACTGCTAAATACTGTCTACTTCTTGATCACCCCTTTACTCAATTCAGTTATTCTGCCTGTGCTTTTTGTTTCTCGGAACCTGTTTGCTTTCAGTTCCTTTGTGTGTCAAAGAAACTGGGATTCTTTTTACTTACTGTTGGCTTCACTTCTTCTTCTGTTCTTCTAGATATATGCTGCTCTAGTTAACTTTGTTCAAAATCAAGGTGAGGCAAATGGCAATTTATTTTTCAGTGTAAATTACTGTACTTAGCTAATATTACTGCTCTGCTGTTTATTCCAAACCTTTGTTTTAGGCCTGCTTGACTGGTTCACTGGTCTCAGATGAACTCCCTTTTTAATTCTGTCCATCATTTCTTCAACAGCTTGTCTCTTCAGATCTGTAACTTCTTCACCTGCTTCAGAAATCAAAGAGGATTATCACATTCTAGATATAAACTACAGAGAAATATCACAAAGGAATAAACATGTTAAAAGCCTCCTAAACAGCTTGCTTGCCATATACAGCCAGTTACCATAATCATAACTTAGTTTTAATGGTGAAACAGCATTTATATACACAATGTACTTAGTTATACTTGGTGCAGTAGGTCTTCCTGCCTGTGTGATACACAGTTAAGGCCAGGCTGGACACGGCTTGGCGCAACCTGGTCTAGTGGAAGGTGTCCCTGCCCATGGCAGGGGGTTGGAACTGGATGATCTTAAGGTCCCTTCCAACCCAAACCATTCTAGGATTCTTTATGGTAGCAGAAACAAGCAACCTCATCTGTAGTTATCAGGAACTCTAGTTTCTGGACACAGCATCACAGGAGCAATCTTTGCTATCAACTAAAGCGTCTCAAGTTCTTCAAGTATAAAATGCCAATCCACACATTGAGGATCATGCCATGGACTTCACAAACAACAAACCACAGTGTCTGCAGAAGCTGAGACAGAAGTAGGGCCCACATGCTGAAAAACACAGAGCTCCTCTAAGTGGGAATTGCACAAGGTCAGTGCTACTGGCTGAAGCACCAAAGACTGAAGAACACAGCCCCACTTCCACCGTGGCTCAGCAGAAATCTCCACAGCTTCACTGACATGGGACAAGTTGATAATGCCTCATGCAACCCATCACAAAGTGACCATATGTCTCCTATTTCTCATGGGTTTCTGAACCTTGCTGAAACAACACACAGTTGAACCCCATTGAACTAAACCCACACATTTAAGGAACCCTGCATCGAGTTAAAAGGCAAAACCTAAATACCATGAAAGGGAATGGTTGCTTCTTCAAGAGATTCAGCATGAAGACTGAAAAAGATTCAGATGAAACAGGAAGCTGCGTGACGAACCTAAACAATACCTGTTAACTTCTCAGTGTTCTGGGTAATGTAACAAAAGACACTTAACATGCCAAAAGGTGGGGGGGAAGAATACTTACAGCAGATACATGGAGAAATAGGGTTGACACTATTCAAAGCTGCAACGCTGTACCTTATGTAAGAGGAATTTTAAATAGACTTTCCCTCGCTCACTTGTCAAGGTACTATTGATGATTCATAGAAATGCAGTTTCTGTATTCCAAGGTAATTTCATGTCAGGCTTTAATTTCACAAACAGGCTGTTTCAAATATAAAAGCTTAATTGGTGGTATGGGATAGAAACCACTCATTCTAAGTCCTTAACAAGGGTCAAAACAAGCTTCAAGTTGGATATAATAACTAGATCAAGAAAGAACTTTCCCCCTTTTTTATCTTTATTTTAAGAACAGCTCAACTATTAAGAGAAAAAGCAGTTTAGATGTGATTGAAGAAAGGTCAGAACTGTTACAGTTTGCTAATAAATAATGAAAGAATGGGGTGTAGAGAATTTCATAGAATTTCCTGCAATCACTGCTTGTAACGGTCTCAACAAAGAGGTGCAATCAAAACACTAAGGATGCTCCAAGGTAAGGAAACGTGGTAAATGAAGGCAAAAGAACTGAACTTACTGAAAGATAAGACTGACTCTTCATCAGAGATCTCAATATGTAGGTTCACTTCTCCAATTATTTTACCCAGACCAACAATCTTACTTCTCTCAGCCTGGTAACCAGGTCCCAAAGATTCCCCATGTCATCCCATTCCTGTGAGGTGAGGAACTGAAGTATTCTGCCTGTTGGACCCTCCACCAATCCAGCCATGCTTGCATACCATTGCAGTCTGCTAACAGTGTTTTTTTCTCTAACAGTTATATCCTACACCTATAATTTCAGCAGGTTCCCTTCTGCAGCCCCCTTCTTTGTTTAAGTGGCAGCAAATGAGTTAAGCAATTCACTACAAACAAACTCCTGCTGTTTCAGAAGAAAGAGAGAAACAGCAAGAAAAGCTTTGTTTATTTAACTGGCAGTGCCTGTCTAACTAGCTCTGACTCTTCAGGCACTCATGATCATTTGTAAATCTCTACTTAACTCCTGTTCTCAACCTACTAAGTTTCCAGCTTCCATTAAGAACAATAAAAAGCAATTTCAGCTGTTACTTCACATGCAGAGCCACCTCAGTGCAAGATTCTGTTTTGTTTTAGGGCTTCCAGTATTATTAAAGGATTAGCATTACAGTCAACTCCAAAAGGTGATTTTGCAAGATATGAATTGAGGGATGAAAACTGAAGCATTTAACAAACTAGCTCTGTGGAGAGGCTCTGGACAGAAGAAACCACAAAGAAGCAGCTATTTGGAAGTTGGAAGCACCCCTGTATTATGCTGTATATAACCTGCTTTCTGCCTAATGCTTGTTGGGTTTGTTCTTCTGCATCTTCCAGGTAGCCTATGGAAGGCCAATGCCCTGTACACACTATAGCTGCAGCTACATGCTGTAGTGTCTCCAGTTTAGAGGCACAGGTTGAGACCCTTAATGCTGCTATAGTTCACCTACTACAGGCAGTACCAAACTGCCAGGGTACAACTCAACAAGATGCACAGCATCAGTGTAACAGCATGGGGCCTAAACTGAACCATCCTGTTCTACCCCTCTAGCTTATCACCATACCCAACAAAGTGCTTATCTTCTCAGGGCCTTTTGTGAGCCTGTAAGAAACACAACCACAAGAGAAAAAGAGGTATTTTTCTGCCACATCTGCAAATGAAATCAACTCAGTGACATATCTGATAAACATCAGAGCTAGAAGCTGGAAGATCAGAACTTCCTTCAGTTACAGCTAGTGCTAGGTCTTCCCTTAAGGTTTTTGAACCTCAGCATCAAAAACTGTTCATACCAAAATCCATTTGGAAAAAGCAAATTGGATGCTGATCACCAGCTCAGTTGTGGAGGCATACATGACTACAATGGCTACACAAATTTACCTGAGATCTCAAGAGGCTTGCAGTAGAATAGCACAGACTATTTCAGTTGGAAGGGACTCTGACAGGCTTGGGGCACCAACCACCTTTGGGAAGCTTGTTCCAACATTTGACCACCTTCTGTCAAGAAAGGCTTCCCCATATCCAGTCTGAACCTCCCCTGGTGCAACTGTGAACCATTCCTACACATCCTGTCACTGGATCCCAGGGAAAAGAGATCAGCACCTCCTTCTCCATGTACCTGCCTTGGGAAGCTGTGGACAGCAATGAAGTCTTCTCTTAGCCTCCTTTTCTCCAAACTGGACAACTCCAGAGAGACCAAAGCTTCAGTGCCAGAGATACCACTTTCTATTTCAGAGCATGTATACCTGGGCTGCAGTCACATTTCTGGACTGCAAGGTAGATGAATACACTGGGCCATGGACAGCAGTAGTTAATGTTGACAATTCTATCTGTACCCACAGTTCATTTTCAAGAGCTTTATCTGCATTATCTAGTGAATAATGTGCATGACTTGAGAAAGGATGAGCCATACCAGACTCCTGCTGAGGAGGTTTCTCCTTCTTGCTCACGTTGGTGTTGGAGTGAGATCTCTTGCGAATCATTGACATGAGAGACCTGTGGGGGAAATGAAACTGCAGATTGACATTCTGTCCTGTGTTACACACTGCTAGAATGAACTTGAACATGACACACAAACAGCTTGCTTATACCTGATTATACAGCTGCTTACAAAAGACTCACTTAACAGTTCTTGAATGCAGATGTATGTACTGAATTACCCCCCACAATGCCTCCCATCAAAATGCACCAGAGAAATTTATTTCTTTTTAACAGACATTAGGCACAAATCAAAACATTCTAGATTTGAATATTAAAAGGCAGTGTCTCTTTGTGACACATGACAAATTGAAGCTGCTCTGGCATAATAAAAGGAAAGAAGAGCTGTAGATATTGAAGTATTATTCTCCAGAGGACACTTAAATATGGTGATCAGTATCTCCTCACCAACTCCAAGTTTGTAATCTTCTTACAGTGTCAAATAATTATCCCTTCACTACAGTCAAAACGTAGAAGTCCAGGCAAGGGAATGATTCATCTCAAAGCCCAAGTATGCACATAAATATCACAGTGCATGAAGGAAACACTCTGATTTAGCTACTATAGGGCTTAAAATGAATAGCGTTCTCTATTTCAAATAGTAAAGGGCACGAACTTAAACAAAACAAAAACCCACCACATCCCCACACAGTTAATTCATGCTACATGTTAGTGAGAAAGAAGAAAGAAGCCAAACGAGTAAATGGACCTAAAAAGAGCAAAAGCCCAAATATAATTGTTCAGAACATGTTTAGTTTCGATTTCTGAAAACAAAGCAAGATGCACAAAGGGATGAATTCTCCCTGCTGATCATCTCCATTCATATACTTAACACAGTGTTTGAGACTCCTGTATGTAATTTCCATTACAGAAGGTTAGAAAGTGTCATGGAAGTCCATTTATGTTTAAAACCAAGTAGACAACATGAACATTAGCTGAGTTCCTAAAATTAACCAACCCTAAAGCACACTTCAGGGCTTTGGTAATACATTTGGGTCTAATGCCTGATACAGCATATATTGGGCAACGTCTTTTGCTGTTCTTTGCAAAAAAGCAGGCTTGGTTTTGATAATTTCACCCCAAACTGCTTGATGATGGGGTCGTGATTTTATGTGGGGTTTTAACTTATGAAAGCAATTGTGTGGACTCAATGGAGTCTGCATTTTCATATGAGTAGCTGACAGGAAGTGACATACAGTAATCCAACATATCCTTTGGTTCAAAAGGGTTTTCTTAGCAGTGGATTCAGACAAGCATTTCACAAGTCTATAATTACAGCTATCAGGTGAATAGAAAAAATGTAATCTCCTAAATCTGGAGCAGACAGGTATCCCTCCTCCTCCAAAGTCACAGTCTAGACTATTTGTCAGGCTTGGCAAGGCAGGCACTGTTCAGAATTGGTCAGGGTGTTAGTCTGTCGGCAGGTGGAACGCAGAGCATGTCCTGCTGGTAAACAGCCCAAGATAGATGGAGAAAGCCTTTTTTCTTTAAAGACACTCTTCCTGCTTGAATGCAAGCTCATGTAATGTGTTCTGCTTCAGCAAAGCATTGACGCTGTGATCCTTATTTAAGCACTTACCGTATAGGGTTAGGAGGAGGGGGAGGAGGGAGAGGAGGAGGTGGCGGTGGTGGAGGAGGTGGTGCAGGATTTTCTGACTGCTGTACTCGTTTCTGAAGTTCATCAACTGCACAAGAGCAATAAAACAAACTAGAGTGAGTTCTGGGTTCTCACATCTGCTCTAAAAGCCAATTCTGAGGGTATAAGCAAAGTAGCTACTAATTAACTGAAAACCAAACAAGACTAAACCACACAACTGCTGGCAAGCACTATTTTTGAGTACATTTTCTACCAAGAACAATGTCTTAGGCACACAGGATTCTCATTAAACCAGTTACCTCCAACGTGAGTTACTTTTCAAACTAAAATGACACTCTCCCTCACACAGAATTCTTCTTATTAAGTAATAGAGCAGGGAAAAAAAATATCACATTCCTGTGATGGCCTATTTGAGGTTGCATTTGAAAATGAATCATGGAATCCCAGACTGGTTTGGGTTGGAAGGGCAGGAACACCTTCCACTAGACAGGCTGCTCCAAGCCCTGGCAACCTGAACTAACCAGAATTAACAAGAACCAACAATAATAATGAACTAACCAGAGATGAAAGAAATGAACAATTTGAGCTTCCAGACTCATCTCTGTCTTGCTGATGGCATGGGTTTGCCCCATAAAAATGGTCAAAACTGGGCAGTGGGCTGAACAGATTCTTTCTCTCCTCAGATCTAAGATGTGGATGTTACTTTTCTGCACTTGAAACATTTTCAAACACAATTAATTGAGGAAGGGCAGAAACAGAGGAAAAGAAGTTAAATTTCTTTTAGTTACAAAAATTCTTAACAATTGTCCTAAATACAATAGGAATTATGCAGAAGGGCAGAATATGATTTCCAAAGGGCACACGGTTCTTTGTTGTCATAACGATGGATTCTAATTAAAATTACAAACTTTAACATTTAGGTTTAAATTTTAAAAGGGAAAAAAAATAATCAATGGAGTCACTTTAAATTCCAGGTACAATCTTTATGCTGATAAATCCCTTCTGAAGAACAAATAAGCCTGGAAGGAAAGAACCTGCTGTGAAGGTCAGATCTTTCCCAAGGCAGCTGAGAAGGACTCATATGCTGCCTGGGCATATTTTTAAGGCTGGGTAACGTAAAACTCTAACACAAAGCAGCTCTTCCAAGCAAGACTGCAACCAGCTTAAAGATAATCCTGCTCCTGAGGATCTGTTTCAGGAAAGCACGGCTGTATGTGGTGTCTTAGCTAAGGATATGGACTTTGGCCTCCTCTGATAGGGGCTCAAATGCTTCTCTGAGCAGGTGTCATATTTAAAACTAGCACCTCCTTAGGCCTTGAGCTGAACAAGGACTGAAAGCAAAGGCACAATCAAATACTTAACAGCCATAGCCCTGCATTCCCTATTGCAAGGCTACACACACCAGGGCCCTTTTTAAACCCAATTTTAAATAAAGAGCATTAGGTCCAAAATTTCCTTATTCAATAGACAGGATGCTTCAGGCAAGCCAGGCACCATCCTCATAGCAATAACTATATGAACATCTGCACTGCTACAGTTCTACCCTCCCAAATATTCCATGAATCTTCTCTGCCTGTATTCTTTGGGCAGAGACAAGACACAGTAGCTAGCAAGACTGTTTCTTGCCTTTCATTCACTTGACATGGAACAAAATATCTGACTATAAGAAAAGAGATTTAGATGTAGCACTCTCATGGATATGGGCCATAAAAGCCCACTGGATTTGTCTGGTTAACTCCCTTTGTAGAGTTTTGAAGGCAGCATTTACATTTTAAGTATCTGCTCAAAAACAAAGAAAAGAAATACCCCTCAGGCCCTCTCACATCTGCAGAAGTTGTTTTCTCACGTGTCAATATGAAGGGCTAAATCGTGTTTATTTTCACTGGTGTCCTCTACAGTAAAACTATTAAATAGTTGGGCAGGTTGATAATTCTGTGATTGTTTATTACAATTCATACAACATAAGACTCCACAGTCTGTTTGGGGTTTTATTTACTTTTAAAACTAGGTAAGAGGATTTTGACTGAATATGAAGGATTGTGTCTTTCACACAGAAACCCATTCACATGTACAAATCCATCTGTAAGACTCAGGGCAACCTAACAACAGTATTTCTATAGCTTACAGGAGTTAGAATAACAGGGTTATTCTTTCATACACATTGTGGACATGACTGTTCCGTGGTTGAAGGCAGCTGCTGTACTTTGCCTTGTGAAGCACAGGTCTGGATCTCAGCTACACAAGCGCTTCTGGGGTCTCAAACAGGCATAATTCTATTTGACACCACTCATACCTCTGTACCTCTAAAATGAAAGTTATTAGATGATTTTACCTGAATGCTTTAGGTCTCTAGCTTTTTCTTCTGAGTGCTGACACTTGAGCTCTAGTTCCTTTTTATCTTCTTCCAAGAGTTCTAGTTGCTGCTTAAGACGACTGATTTCCTTATGCAGAGCTTGGTTCTCTAGCTGCTCTTCCAGTTCTTTGATCTGGAATTGGCAAACAATAGCATTCATTACAGTAAGAGGTACTTTTTGTCCTTTCTTTTGATAAATTAACCCATTAGGTATGGTTACTCCTGAAAACATGATTTTATACTATAGAAGTGAACTACAAGTCCCAGAAAGGGGCCAATTTTTGAACAAGAGCTGGACAGATTTTTCTAAGAGATGTCAACATTTTCTATCACAATCCCAACTTGGTTCATTTCTTCTTTAGAATACATCTTTAGCTCCAAAGTACTTAAGCTATAAGAATGTTCCCTTTTACTTTCTAGAGCTTTTATCACATAGTTAATTTCAGAATGTTTCTTCATTTGAAGCACGAGAACACTGACATTTTTGTTCTCATACTGACTGCTTCTGACAGGTTGGTTATTTAAACTCCCTTGTCTCAACTCATGCAGATGCCAGTGGGTGAATTACAGAACATCCAGTTTAAAGGCAGCATTCAGGTGCAGAGTATCAATCACTTCCCAACTCCCCAGATATATACATTTTCCTCTAGACTTCAAGTAGCCAAAGACGCAGAGGTTTTCAATGAACTGCCAATTATTCTTCCAAAACACTCATTCAGAAGCATGTGAGATTATACACAGTTTTAGTATTGCTCCATTGATGAAAGCACAGGAACTGTCTACCTATTCCCTGCATTACTGTTACCAGAGCTTTAAGAACAGGCCTCACAGCTAAGGGAAAACTTGTCTTCAGGCTTTTAAGTGAAGCAATGGTGATTTCTCCCAGTTAGAGATTGATTTAGTCCAGTTTCAAAGAACATACTTGTTTAGATCCTAGTTCTATAAATACCACTTTGCAGCATTCACCTAACATTTCCCTACTCCAGTATATCTGGCTCTTCCCCATGCATTTCTTTAGCAAGTGACCAGATTACTACAGTGAACTGCCTGCCTCTCATCTCTTTGTCTTCTTGGCTTACCCCCCCAAAATACCCTTTATATTACTCAATGTCCAAAATACTCTCCTAACATCTCTTCTCTTAATGGAACTTGACTTAATGCACTTCACTGGCATTCAGAGTAAAACACTTACTTAAACCAGAGCCTTCAGCCTGAAAAGCTTTCAGGTTTTGTACTCAGGTCTTACCAGTTACCCAGAGGAAAGGAATCACAATCTTCTCTGAAGTTTTGTTTTCAGATGGGAACTCTTATGGGTACAAGATCCCAAGTAATTCTGAACATAACAAATACATGACACTCCTGACATTCAGAAGGCTTTCAAAGACTTCTGCATGAGATGTTTTACCTTTTGTTGGTGTTGAAGCCTTTCTTCTTCTAACGTGTGGGTTAGCTTAGCATTGTCATCCAGAGCCTTCAAAAGCTGTTGGTCAGGCGCAGAATTCTGCAGAAGCAACTGGCTTTGCCTTTTCATCTTGTTTTGTTCGATAAACATCTGCCAAAACAAAACCCACCCCCAATAAAAGCAACAGTTATGCACATTCTATTGCTATCCTGGCAACTAGAAAGAAAATGAAGAAATTAACATCATGTTAATAGGGATAGTGAGGAAGAAGGTGGGAAGGAAGGGAAAAGGATGTTTGAGAGTAGAATTTACAAGAGCTAAGCTCGCACTGAAAGGAACTGGGTGTTTGTCAAGAGCCACCCAGTGCTACACCTTCATCACCCACATGTTGGCAGCATTCAGAATTTAAACATTATCTCTGGAAACAGGAACAATCTGATCCCTATTCTGGGAGCTCTAGAGAGATTGAAAGAACTCTAGGTGGAATTCACAGGCTACCTCCTCAAACACATCTGCAAGCCTTGCCATAAAGCCCATTTATTTGGGTTACCTGGGTATGGGAATGATGGAGAGTCTTTGGGAGATGAATTTCAGTCCATGTTTGTGTAATCAGTGTATTATGCACTGATTACAAGAAAAGACCTTTCAGGGCAATTTCAGCCTTTTAGTTCTGACCCTTGTGTTCTTTCCTCCTTCCCAGTTACACTTTTGATGTGAAGAATGGACACACTGGGGGGGGGGGGTGTCAAATAGTCAAAATTCCTAGTGAATTTATTCTGCATCTTGACATCTTCAGGTAGAGGGCTGTCACCACAGGCAATAAGGGCTTTCACTCCTGACAAACTCAGCTGTGCCTGTTCTTACAGCAGAAACAGGGACTGGGTCATGCTGAGGTTTCAGATGAGTGTGCACAAGTCAGCAAAGCAATACCGCTTTATGGCAAGAGAAAAAGGAACAGCCTGAGAATGCAGACACTCTCTCAGACTGTAAAAACACTGTTATATAGAACAGCAAACGCAAGAAGATACTGTAAGAATGGAGTATTACAAATTCAGGAGTTCAATGTGATCTCTCGAGGTTCCCATACTATTTATTCACAAACCAAAGTTACAGATAAACGTATGATTTCTTCCCATCCACTGCTACTGCAGCAGTATTTATCTTTTTATTTATTATTACCTTTTTACTTATTATATATGATTTATCTTTTTAATACAATTGGATTTTAAAGAAACATCAGCTGATGCAGATCTGTGGCAAGCATTCCACCCAGAGCTCTGCATGGGCACTTCAGCTGAGGCTTCTTAGCAAGCAACTCTCTCCAGTTGTCCATGCAGACCTAGAAGCTTGCTGACTGTGCTGAACTTTTAACTCACAAGGTAGCCTGCTCGACCCTGTTTGCCAAGCAGCATCAACTGATGCAGTCCTAATACTAATAAAACCTGCAATAAGCACTTCATTGGGCAACACTGTGCCACGGAGGTAGGCAATAAAGGACTGGAGTAGTCGATGAAGAGGAAACAATGAATACAGGCTCTAGTACTACACTTTGTTGTAAAACACAGACAAATACAGACCACAGTGGTACAGTGCAAATGTGCACTGTACACGAGACCCCTGTCCCAGAATTACTCCTGGGGAGATTCTGACTGGACACAAGAGGAAAATTTTATCAGTGAGCACAATCAGCCATTGGAATAATCTCCCGAAGGGCAGGGATGGATTCCCCACCAGTGGACACTTCCAAGATTCAGCTGGACAGGTTGTTGGGACATCCAGTCTAGTTCTGTTTGCCCAGAAAGGTTGGACCAGATGATCCTTGAGTCCCTTCCAACCCGGGATTTCACGATCCGATGAAATTCTGCCAGTCAACCCAATTGTACTTGCGTGACCTCACACTAGTAGTGCTGTGGCAAAAGCAAGTCAAAGGCATGAGAAGATCAGAATCAAAACTACCCACCCCAACCCGTAAAAGGTTTGTCTTTGTATTGCAAGTCATCTATTTAACATTTTATCTTCTTAAAACAAACAGCACCTTTGAAACATCATATTTTAGAAAGGTCCCTAAATCACTGCTAAAGAACTTAATGCTGTCTCAAAGCCTCCTGCTTTCAAGTCAGTCAAAAGTTATTTAACCCCAACAGAAACACCATCTCTCTAAAGCCATCTTTAGCAAACATCACAGTTTGCCTACTGTGAACTTCCAGAGCAAAGTGAAAACTTGGGATTCATATTTTTTTGGAATCTGACAACTAGTTTGAAGTGCTTTTTCTAGATTTTTGTTCCCTGCATTTCATCAGAACAGAGTTGTTGCAGCCTGAGAGGGCAGAAAGCTGCCAAAACAAGAAGAAATCAAATAGGGCAACTTGAGCAGACACGTCACCAAATGTAGAAAATCCATATTCACTTTGTTTCATGCTCTTCTGAAACAAAATGAACAGGATCATTTTGAAGACCTGGGTGAAAACGTTTTCATTCAGAAGTCTGCACATGAAGTGTTGCATTTTCTATTAGCTTCCTAAATTGCCTTCATGATATTGCAAATACATTCCTGCTTACAGAATATCCGAAAGTGTCTTTACCACCACAGAAAGATTTGATGCTTATAACTTAATGCTGCAACCAGACACATGGGAAACAATTTCTCATATGGAGCCCCATCCATTTCAGAAGTTATTTACACACATGTCCGTGAAGTACCAGCATATTCTAAATGGAAGGGACAAAACTAGACAAGATGGTCATGGCAGATATAGCAGAAAGCAAGCTGGTGATGAACTGATGGCAAGTTTTTGAGAGGTTGCTCTGAGTGTTTGACATGGGACAAAAGAGACCCTTAGGAGTTAATTCTAATTTAATAAATACAATTCCTGCTTCAGCAGGGCAGAAACCTGACTGCCTGCACAGCCCTGAATATTAATTAAAGTGACTGCTGAAAGGGCAAAACAGCTACTAACAGGATTATTTGGACTAGGTGGAATTTAACCAAGTGATGGATTAGTTCCGACTTTGCCACCTGCTAGACAATTATCTGCAGAGCATCCCGATCGATGCTGGAACTGTACACTGATGCTGGAGGAATCTACTGAAACCATGACTGCAACTAAAGAGAGATCACAAAGGACAGCAGTTTGCTTACACCTACCATTTTAACAATCTCCAAGCCGTGTGCAAACCAGCTATCCTTTCCCCCCTGAGTTTTCATAGAGAAGCTGCAAGGTGCACGAAATCTAGGACTTGGCCACTTTCTACTAAAGCTTGCACAAGAATTGGGGGTGAAATCCTGAAAATAACAGATGCTTTTCCCTTGACCTGAATGGAGCCACACCTCATTCTCAGACCCCTGGCTCCAACCATCACCCTACAGAGCGTTCACTGCAGCTGTTACTTCTCTACACCAGAGCTGAATAAGGAATTCTTCCTCATTAAAAAAGTTAGAAAGCAACTCTGTTAGTGTCAAGTCCCTGGGAACTCCAATCCTCATTCAAGTAACATTCAGGGTATAACTCCATGCTCTCCAACTAACTCTTCTCCCAGGAGCAAAATGAAGCTGTAGGAAATGCTTTAATATCTATGTGTTGCTACATTTACATCTATACTTCATTTGGGTACTCTATGTGGAGCAACTGGTTTTGTCTTAGCTAAAGCATGAAGGGAGAATAAGGTTTCAATACAGCAGCGCTGTTGTAATAATCAGTGGTTGCATACAGTAAAATAAGCATCAGCAGCAAACACTACCCACTATGAACAGAGTAACAAAAGGTATGTAGCAAGGCAGAGTCAAATGCTGGATGTCTGAAACAGAAAAGGGAAGATCAGTCAGCTGAGCAGTTGGCTCTGACTTCAGTCCTGGGCAGCACTTCTCCATCCCATCCACATCCTAGTAAGAAACCAGTAAGTCATCCTCATGAAGTGGTAACCACTCATTCACCGTGGTCACAGTCTACAGGAGCTGATGTCTTTTGAATCATGTGCATCCTGAAGCCTTGTGTTCAGATCTGAAGTAAGTCCTAAGAGAGGACTTGTCAAGGACATGGTCAAGGTACTTGTATTTTATGTCATGAGGGGGAGAGAATGATCTTCTCCAAATATAGCTTGACAGGGCACTACATGGCTCTGAATTTAGGAGGTACTCAGTTTAAAATATAACTCCAGGTGTGGATTTTAGTTACGTAGCTAATTAAGAATATATATCTCTCTCTCTATATATATAAATATATATAAACTCACACTTTGTAACAGCTTAACTGTACTCCATTACCAAAGACGCCTGGGCTTGTGAGGTTCACTGCTTATGATTACAGCAGGAAACACTGGCCAGTGGGTTTTTCTGACAGAAGAGTTGAGAAGCAGATATAACTTATTAAAACACATTAATAAACACGTCAATAGTTTGGACATTGACCTTGAAATGCTCCCTCTCTACTCAGGCTCAATCCTGCACATGAAGAAATTATATCAGCCTTGTATGAGTTATGAAATTTAGTGTTCATCGCAGGTGTCGGAAGCCCTACTCATGAAAAAAGCTACAGCAAATAAATAGGTCCTGCAGTTAGGGCACAATCCAGAAAACTTAAGTCAGCCCATGCTTAATTTTAAGAGCTTTTGGTGTTATTTCAATCTGAAAATTTTGGATCTGGTGCTTATATTTTTCCCTGCCTGGGACCTACTTCTATGGAAAATAACCACCAAATAATGGCAGACAGAAAGAGATTACCCAAACGGCTAATACCAAGGGCAAGGAGGGCACAGGACAAGATTCTCTTTAACAGAAAAATACCCTAGTGTGACACATGGAAACCCAGAGTGATGCATTTCTGGCAACGCGCTGTGACCTTCATAGACTTCCTCCTTCAGAGGAGCCAAAGACTAACCTAGCTGGATTGTCAAACTGTCATAGAAAACTGAGGAACATGATCACAACAAAGGACATATGCATAGCAATGGGGGCAGCCAAGAATCATTCCTCTAGATGACCCATAATACTTTAATGGTTAACAGCTTTATGTTAAGACCTGCATCAATTTTAGACTAACAAAGACACAACACACTTGTTTTAGTTACTTGGCTGACTGTCAGATAACTTCTGAAGGAACTATTAAGAGCTACAAGCTGTCACATTAATCTGTTTTATGGCTCAAAAGAAGAGG